TAAGAAAACCCCTACTTATCGTTAAGATTTTGAAGCTGAAAGTTTTGGCTGTGTACAAAATAAGGGAATACGGGTTGAAAGCAAGGTTTCTAAGGGTTTTGGGGGCTAGGTTAGTCCGCCAATGAGCGAAAGTCCTGCGGGTTCTGCGGTTGCCGCTGTGTCTTCCGCGTAAACTATTAAGCAATTTCGAAATTTCACAGAACTTATGCGCAATTGGCACGCGAATGGAAGACACAAAAGACGCCAAGGAACGCACACACTTACGCTGCAGGAGCGTTTCCGCCTTGGAAAAAGTTTCGCTTCCTCTTCTTTTTTACTGAATGAAAACGGCGCAGCCAGCGAAAAGCTGTTCTCTCCCACGTTCTCTATTGCTTTCTCTATCTCTCCCTCCCTCTGCCAGCTAGCTGCCCTGCTTGCTCCTGCTGGGGAAATATGAAAAATGGTGAAAAAACAACACCTTGTCAAGGACAAAGCACGCGACATGGCCAGAAAACAGCTGAGCCGATGTTTGTTGTTGTTCCCACCATCTCTCTGTCTTTGTCCTTATTTTTCACTCTCTCTCTTACTCTATCTCTCTCTCTTTGTACTAAAATTAAATGTTAGGAAGTGCGCATGCTGTTAATCCAACAGTCGTTGACATCGCTAACAGCTGTTAACCGAGGCAAGCCCACAGAATTGATTATTGGCTTTCATCACCAAACAAATACAGTGCCTCAAACCACGAGGAGACTTATAATAATCAATTTTTGTATGGTATGGAAAAAGGGAAGTCTCCCCTCCTCACTCAAAGTTAAAGGACCTCGATGTTATAGATCTTACATAGGTTTGAAGACATCATAGATGATTACTTTGATCGACTTAAAACCTAATGAACAACTATTTTAAGCTCGTGTCAGTAAGGGTACGAGCGAGTCAGATAAAATATTTATATATTTTATTTTACTATAACTTTCAGGACTATCACCCAGAAGCAAATACCTGTTTACTTTCCGTAAAAATTCTAATCAAAGGCCTGTTTTATTCGTTTTCTGTTGATGCCAAGTATAATACTTTAGACAGAATAATTTTATTTGCTAGCTGCTTTTGTTAACTATTTTAAATTAAATTAATATAAGAAACTTTTTTTGTAAAAAATCTATAATAGAAAATCTTTTCAAATTTAAATTGCTTATTTAATTTGTTTGGATCCATTTCAAAGTTGATCTCTTGATGCAATTGCTAACTGCAGGGATTTACAAACTTCAGCTTTACAAAACCGGCTTCCTATCTTTTTTAATTTAAAATAAGTTAAATGTTTTAAATATCACTCTTATGGTTATAATTTCCATTCCCTTGCTGTTTTTTTCGAGCAAACAGAGTTACGCATTATAATTGAGTTGAGTTTTAGAGAGAGCCTGGCATAAAAAGAAATTCGTAGCAGAAACATATTTTCTCTACTCACAATGTCAACAAACTTTTTATTAGCTTTGACATTTTGGCCAAGTTTAATGGCCGCCCGTGCCAGCCTCCCTACCGCCCACTTCCACACGGCTAGGGCTAATTTTTCCATGTCTAGTATATATGTATGTATGTATGTAAGTTCCTCCTCCTGGAGGGTTTTATGAGTGCGTCGACAACTTTTGGGTCTGGCATTCTGAGCCGAGGAAAAACCTCAAGCAAATCAAGTCGACTCAAAAGGCGCCGCCATATTGGCCGGGCCATATAATTTGGGCCAACTACTACTGTTTGGGCATAAAAATGCAACATTCATGGGGTGGAAAAGTTCCTTCCAAGTGCTTCATTAAAATTAAAAGAAAGGACGTGTGGGAGGCATTTATAGTAAAGGATCCATGTCACTGCAAATAATAAAAAATGCAAAACACAAACAATCGGCGACCCCATGACCCGTGGTCGTAATTCAATATTCATCCGAATCTAGTAACTGCAACTTTTTAGGGAAAAGCCTCTTGGGTTGAATTAACTTTATTTCTTTTCACGTCAACGCTCCTCCAACCATTTCAATTCCAAGCACAACGTAATATCCAAAGTAAGTGCAAATCTGTTGGCTTTCAATTTCATTTAATGTTCTACGGTAAACCACAAGCAAACAGAACGGCCACTGCAACTGCCATTTGAATCCTTCGCTTTGACCAGTGCCAATGCTTTATATACATCAATTCATTTGCAATGACAACTTAAGGTCGAGTGAAAAACGAAATGGATTTAAGTGGAGCTGAACCGAGAGGTAGAGATTCCTAAAATGAAGTGCATTTGCCATTTTTGTTGTGAAAAGCTTCAAAGAAAAGTAAAGGATCTTCAAAAACCAGAGATAAAAGGTAACTAAATAAGTCTCTTTTAAATTTATTTATAATTAAAATTGGTCTCAATTTAAGGATTTTTTATGGTTGCAGAAAAGTTATTCCATCAATATTTAAAATGTTTTAATAAATACTTTTATCTACTTGACAAAATGGAAAATTTGAAAAGAATTATTATGAAAAGCAATTTTTGAAGAATTCATTAATAATTTTATTTATGATTTTAGAATAAATTTTAAGACTATCCCTTCGTTTACCTGAATTACCTGTTAAAAATTGTTTGGATTGAAATTGCCAAACTGGCACTTGGTGTACACTTCTAGCAGCAGTTATAAATCTCAGTTTTTCTTAAAATGCCACAAGGTAATGCGATGTCAGTGGAATAGCCACCACAGAGGCGACACTCGAGCAAAAGTCCTTCCACTTTCGCATGTTTTCAGTGGTCTCCTGCCAAACCTCTCCGGCTGACTGATGATGGCTGACCAGAAAATGGCTAAAATACTTCAAGCTGAAGTCCTGCAGCCGTGGAAGCAACAGCAGGAACAATGGACAGGACGAAAACCAAAAGCAATAAAGAGGGAAACAAATGAAACGGCGGCAACGCAGGCAGCGAAAATGTGTCCTGGAAATGACGGCGACTTTGTCTTCGTCGTGGGTGGTCAACGCAGACACACAGACTCTGGCGCACAAAAAACACGCTTAGACGCACACACATTCAGATCCTGCGAGCGCATGAAACAATATACGTAATAACAATGGGAGACAACAAAGTGTGCAGCAGGAAAAACGGGCCATAAGGACGTACACAAGAAAAAAGTCATCTCAATTTATTCATGCCTTATTTTTACTATAAATATCGCTTTACTAATTTCATACAGATTTTAGATGTACGGTTTTATGATCAGAATTGTATTTCTCTTGATTCTCTAGTTTGTTTAAATCGATTTTTGGTTTTTTTTTAATCGTAAAATAAAGGTACCTAATTAATATAAGATGGCACTCGTTTTTCTCTGTGTGATTGTCTTAAGAGAATGAGAAGTGAAATAAATAGAAAGAGGATGGAAAAGCAAATGGAGAGCAAGGAAAAATAGAAGACAAAAATATATTTCAGAGCTACGACAATTTGAAGCATAAATAAAACCAAAAGACATCTGCTTGTCTAATCTAAAACAAGAAATATTCAAGGCAAAGGAAAATCAAAAATTGTGGCTCAGGGCAGATGTCCCTAATGAATTTATGTGGGATATTTTAATTATATTAATAAAATCATAATTGTGATTTGCAGTTATCTAGCCTATCTTTCCAACTTCAGGTACTACTTTCCTTGCATTTAAAATTGAAATTTAAAAATAATAATATAATCTTATTTCTACAAAAAAATTTCCCATCCTAAAATTTAAGAAAAATGTTAATTTTTTTAAATTTTAAATTATTAAGCTTTCTAAGACAAAGATAGAGTTGCTTTCCGAACTAAAATTAATGAATTTTTGGCTAAGTTATGATCGATTTAATTTGATTCAAAATCAGGAGCCTATGACAAACTGCAAGGATATACAAATTTCGGTTTCATCGAAGTCAATTTTCTTTCCTTTTCTGCAAATTTCTAAAAATAATACAAACCCAATGAAATATTTATCGTGACTGATCCAAAGTCAATTCGTTAGTTTGACAGATGATAATCGCTGACTTCGTCTGCTCCCATATACCACTCAAATTTGTCCCTGGCCTGGGACCCTTGGGCTCCTCAACAAATCAATCAAACTCTTTTGGGATGCGATTTCCCCGGCAACAATAAGATATTCAATCCGGGCCCTCAACACAGTACTGGATGATATTGCCCATTTCGGGTCACAAAGGTGCCGAGGAAAGCGAGAAAAGCGGCAGGACACGCGGAAAGGAGACGAGCGAAGGAAAGTGGAAGTGGCAGGCGGCTGACAGGGGAAAAGCGCAGAAAGAAGTGAGAATAACGACCGACTGTGTGGGCGTCTGCACAAAGGAAAGAGCAATAAAAGAAGGCACACTGAGAACAGAGAGCCCGCTACGGAGGAGAACCGAGGAAGGGCAGAAAAGAAATTAACAAAGTTGGCGCACAAAACAAAACGCAAACGCAAAATGCCAAGTGTGCGGTTATTAAATTTTGCAAGCAATTGACTTGACCAGCGGAAAACGGGGGTGGGCGCGGTCCGATAATCGATAAATGTTGTGGAAAATGTAGCGCTGGGAAATTGCTACACATGTTGCAGCTGATGGGGCGAAATTAACTGAAATTGAAACCGAAACTGGAAGTGAAAGCGAATCTTAAAATGGAGCAGACGTTGCGATTCAGCTTTCAATGTCAGTCGATTGGATGGGCGAGGTCAGGCCCAGAAACAGATGGATATATTCAGACAATGAGTTTTCCATGGCTGTTAGATTGCTAACTGCCATTTTCGGTATCAATAGGCACGTTTTTATTATCTACTCGGAGGCTTTAGGATTGTCAATTGTTTTTTGTTTCATTTATCATTATAGAAACACATGATAATGTTTCTTTTTTTTCAATTGGTGGGTATTTTTGAATAAAAATTGATGAGGAACCATTAATCTGAGTATACAACTCACCGAAACTCAAAAAATGATATATTCTAAATTTTATTTAGTATGGCTAATCGCAATTTGTAAACATTTTTAATATTAATTTAATAATCTTTTCATGACACTTACATTGCTTTGACTGGTTGTCGTCGGTTGTTTTGCAGATTTTAGAGTTGTTGTTCGGGCCTTCCGGGACTGATTTCGGGCACCTCTGCGTATGCGTAATATTTGTAGGTAGTAACTTTCTCGTAATTGACACCGAAACAGCTTTTAGGTTTTAACCCAATTGACTAAGCACACAAAAGATAATTCGAAATCGGGGAGTTGCTACAATTAATTTTTTTCTTTTTTTTTTTAGCTGCTGTTGCTGTTAGCCACACACACACATGAGTCCACTCTCACGCACACGCACACATACGCCGAGATTTATGTAACACACAGCTGAGGGAACGAAAAAACCTTACAAATTGGCCAAAAATACAAAGTTATTGATGTTTTTTGTTACAGTTTTTCTATGCTCTTACGGCAGCCATTTTGTGTTTTTATTTTTTTCGAGGGGAACGCGAGGTCTTCGGGCCCCTGTTTATTTAGTTTGTTTTAGATCTCTTGGATTCTCTGTTTTGCTTTGTGTTTGTTGGCTGATTCAATCGGTTCCACTTTTTGTTTGCCCAAACTTGCACGCTCAACTGTCCACGATGTACTGTGCTAACGGTATTTACGTCGCTCCAGCCAACAGAGAGCGAACATCATGGCCAACAGAGAGCGTGAGAGAGAGCAGAAGATAGGGACAGAGAGATAGAAACTAACACTAACTCGCTCTATCCCGCTCTTTGTGTTACTGTATCGGTCTTTTAGTACGGCGTTCTTAACAGCACTATGATTAATAATTCTATAATTATTAATTAATTTATATATCAATTGGGTTTCTTGGTTTAATTTTAATACATTTCATATTTGAAGCTATAAACAATACGATTCATGTGCTTTTTTTTTTATCTAATTTTAAACAAAATATTTGGAAATATCACTATTATTTATGTTTTCTCTGAATTCTACCTTTTGGAGTTCCCAACAAATATAATTTAGCTAAACTATTTGCATATTACATTGTTTTCGTTATTTATTATTTAATTTATAGTTTTGTTTACGTTTTCCAACTTTCTCCCATTTCCGTATCCGCCGTTTACAGTTTGAGTGCAAAAGTGTTGCCTACCGTTAGGCTGCTTGCTGTGACTAAGGCCGCGCGCACACTACGAGCTGAAAGCGGAGCTGACGGCTGACGGCTTATCAGCTCTCTGAAACAAACACACTACTTGTATGAGAGCGCGCACACTGAGAGCGGAGCTGAAAGCTGATAAGGTCAGCTCCGCTCCGCTCTGTTTGATCAACCAAACATGTTTGATTTTGTTAGCAGCTGACGCGAGCTGATTTTTTAGACTATTCTTTAAAAAATTGCCCTAATTAGCGCTTAAGTAACAGAAATTTAAATTTCTGTCCAGTTATATAGAAAAGTATGAAGAATTTTTTTAATATTTATTAAAATAAAAATATTGTCAACTTTCCGAGATACAGGGTGCCAAAGTACACTAAAAAAACGTACTTTGTCAACCATATTCTGGAGAACTGGGTGGTCCGATTTCGAAAATTTAAATGTCATGATGATCTAAATAAATATGTCATCGCATTAACAACGATATTTTAAAAATATTCAAGAATTAAAATATGTTTTTTTTTAAACGTATTGCTTGAAAAACAATTACAAATCAACATCAGCTTCAGCTCGCAGTGTGCGCGGCTGCAAAAAGCTCCGATCGCTGATAAGCTTTCCGCGGATAAGCTCTCAGCCGTCAGCTCCGCTTTCAGCTCGTAGTGTGCGCGCGGCCTAACAGCAGGCTGTAAACTTCAAAAATTTACAAACGATTGTTGTTGTTGATAAACTTTCACTATCACGATTCTATATGTATGCAGTATAAATTGAAGGCTCTCTTTCTCTCTCTGTGTCTTTCCATCTCCCTCTGTGAACTTGCCAATTGCGCAGGTGCCGAGAGCGGGACCTTTGTTGTTGTTTGCGGGCGATGGCAGGCCTTTTTGGCCACTTGGGGGCTTGTTTTCGGTTTTCAATGTTAAGTGCGTAGGAGACGCCACGAGTGAGAGTGACGGAAGGGGAGGAAGAGGCACCGGGAAAGGGAGAGAGCGAGGGAGCCTCGGAGCAACGGGGCGAATGCGCAACGACGACGATAACGACAGCAGACAGAGGTAAGCAGCGGCAAGAGGAGTCCCGAAAGGCGTGTGTAGCTAAGCGTTGTCAACCTGGCTATTTTCACGTTGACAAATTTGACAAATTGCCATTAACAGGACACTCTTTATTAGAATGAAAATTCTAATTACAAATACTTTTCAAAACAAATCATGTTTCCTAGCTTGCTGATTAGCTTCTAAAACTTCTAAGAACTCAAGAAGACCTGAAGTATTCGCATTCCTTAAATCGATATTCAATATTAGACGATAACTTGTTCAAGAAAAGGTCAGTTGCCTTTTTAAAAGCCTTGCAATTTTAATACTGACGTTTTGGCAGTTGCAAACAGCTGTTTGTAGCTGCCGTCTCCCGCTCAATCCCACTATCCCTTTCGACCTTCGGATAAGGTTTCAATTTCGCTTTCATTAAAGTGCGTGGGCAGCGCAGTAGCAGCTCAGCAGCAGCGGATGACTCCCAAGCGACAGGCAGACTGCTACGACACCCGAACGCAAAGGCAAAGCGCATTGAGCATGTGTGCGTTATGTAACCGTTCTTTTGCTGTTTATGATTGAGCTTCACGCTCCTCATTTTTCGCATTGTTGTTTTTACCCATTAATTTGTGTAGCTGCTGAGGCTGTTGTTGTTGTTGGTGGTGGCTTCGGCTTTGGCTATGGCTTGTTACTTGGCGCGTGGCAATATTGCGACCACGTTTATTGAAAACAGTTGTTGGTTGTTGCTTTTCAACGGAGTCCTAGTTCCTGGAATTGGTTCGTTTTCCCGCGAGTCTTTTCTGGGAAGCTGGATTAGGGCTTAGGATTATTGCATATGATGTGCAGGAAAGTGCAGCTTCTAGATTTACAGGAAATAAAAGTAAAATCAAAAGCTAGAAAACCAACTAGAGTCTTAAAAATGTTTAAACCATGGTATCTTTGGGATAATTTTATTTTTAAATGTTTAATAGATATTGGAATGGCAGTTACATTTCAAGGTTCCCCACTCAAGTAAATATTAATAATTAAAAACAACAAGAATGAAAGCTAACTTTGGCCAGCCAAAGTTTGTATACCCTTGCAGGTAACAATTAAAATATATCATAACTAAGCCAAAAATACATTAATTTCGATTCGGAAAGCAGTTTTGTGTTAGTTTTTATTAATTTAAAAAAACTGCATACCAAATTTAAAATTTTAAGAAATCAAAATTTTTGGCCATTTTTGCTAATTTTAATGATGTAACCCCTTATTAAATTTCGCAAAAATGGCTAAAAAATCGATTTCTTCCGGACATGTCTAGAAAGTTTCGTATGTTAATGCTGATCAAGAATATATATGGGTTATGGGGTCGGAAATGATTCCTTGACTTAGAAAAATATTATTTTGTATTATAAAATCTGATTGTTTATATTAAAAAACTTCTTGATTTTTTTTTAAATTAAAAATATCATAACTCGGCCAAATGAGCATTAATTTTAAATCGGCAAACTGTTCTGTGCAAGATTTTCTACAGTTAATAAATCTGCATACTTCATTTAAAAATTTTGAAAATTCAATTTTTTATCAAAATCAAAAATTTTAATGATGTAACCCTTATAAAATTTTTTGCAAAAATGGCCAAAAAAACGATTTCTTCCTGACATATCTAGAAAGATTCCCCTGTTGATGCTGATCAAGAATATATATACTTTATAGGGTCGGAAACGTCTCTTTCACTGCGTTGCAAACTTCTGACTGAAATTATAATACCCTGCAAGGGTATAAAAATAGGCTGAAATTAGGATGGCTTCCGCCAGGAAATGTATACAATGTTTAGGTTTAACTCATTGGTCAGGGAACGCCTGTAAGTATGCAGCGAATTGCTTTCGCCGCTTTGCCTTTGCCAGCCACTCGTGCGTATACACAACGCACTTTTCACGGAGGGCAGTGAAAGGCGCCCGCCCACTCACGTCGAGCCATTACACACACCAGCGAGCAAACAAACAAACATTGAAACATTCAAACATTTTGTGTCAATCTGTCAGTCACTCAGGCAGCGAGTCCTTCACTCAGTGTTTGAACGCTTTTGAAGGTTGCCCCGCCGCCGATAAACCAGAATCGATAAAGGCTAACGGGGCGCGAGAGGTTTATTCTATATATGTATGTATGTACATATGTTCATTGTAATATGTGTATGTCAAATTTTCCACTGAAAAATATTTAATTATTTTGAAAAAGTTTTCTCTTGTCTTTTATTCACAAATGACTTTTATCTAAGATACAAAAAGATGCATTGATTATTATGGTTTAAAGTACTCTGTTTTATATAAAACAATTCATATCGCAAAATAAAAATTCAGAATTAGGTATTCTAATGTTATTTTCATTAATTGTTTTGCCTTTTATTCTTAACGACATGAATACCCCCGAAATAAAGAACCCATTTTTGCCAGTGCAGCCCCCCTTCATGAGTCTTCCTCCTGCCGATGAGTTGTTCTTATCAACGGTCACATAGGAAATACAATACAAAAAGGATACAATGAAGATGAGGATGTGCCGCGACTCAACAAAGGAAAAGCGGGCGGGGAAGCGTTACGAACGCAAGCACATATCTGTTACGCAGAGAGCGTGTGCGGCGTTAACGCGATAAACGTAAATCAATAAACGCACAGAATGGAAATTATCAACACCTGTAAAAGATAATTGACGCCAAATTAAATTATATGTTGCCACAGCATGTGGCAATAATGTCGATTTCATTATAATCATTATGCATAGTCGTTTATAGAGACTTTAACGCAGCAAACTCGAGTTAAGACAAAGGATTACGTTCGAAATTAAATTTTAATGTTATTAATCAGAATTTTAATAGCCAAGCTTAATAAAACGTTATCAGTCTCCCATTTGATGACAATTCCAATAAGTTCCCAATAAAGATGGAAACTTTAAAGAAAGTTTAACATATTTGTCTATGTTTTTCTATCTGAAAAAACGAAATAATTTATAGCTGCTTTTCTGTGCAATGCCTATTTAATCCTTTTATGATTATGATTTATGATTTCTAACAAACTCGTGCATTGAGGTTGTAAGTTGCATGTTCTTGCCCACATTCGGAACAAGATCCTCAGATTCCCAACAACTGCAGTTTAGCTTAGCAGATGAGCCCGCGTATCCTTGTTACTGTTCTTATTTGCGCAAAAATGGTTACAAGGACAACCCGATTATGAGAATATCTATAAACGACTCTGTGGGTTGGGTTGGGTCTGCTAACATTTGACCTTACTGGGCTCACAATCAGCTCGGGTTACGGAGAATGGCGGTGAGGATGAGGATGTGGCAGGAGGATGGGCAGACAAAGCGTTGACAATGCCCTAAACAAAAGAAACACAAAACAGACGAGCAGATAATGGACGTGACGATAGTGGGAAGGAAGTGCGGGGAACCGCGAGCAATGGCAAAATGTATTTACATAGCTTATATGGTCGGGATAAGCTCCATTGTTTTATGCATGCAAACAAAAACAATCAGAGGGTTTGCGGACAGGCATCCTCAGAACCCGGAGCGTCGCAATACAGTTGCATCTGCCGGGGCTCCACACTAAAGCGTTTTAGCTTAGCTTCCACTGGTGGATTTTCAAACCGGAAAATGCTTAATATTACAAAATCCTAACTTTGAAAATAGTTCAAATAATAAAAGTATTAGCTTGTTTCCAAAATTCTTACTAAGATGTGGTAAATTGATTGCTATTTGCTGGGTGGATCAACACTTAAATTTTTAAATGAACAATTCATTCCAAGCATTAACATTAGAATTTATCTTGTCGTTCAAGATAATTTTAGCATCCCACCAAAAAAGATCAAAAGCTTTCACCTTTTAAAAACTATTTCAGTTCCCTGTTCTTTTTTAAATAATTTTAATTTGTTGGTTTGTTTTGTTTTCCGTTGGACTAATACAAAATGAACTGCTTCTTTATCGCTTCACATAAAATTCAACTAAATTATAAGTTACAGAACTAACATTAGGATGCGGCGCCAGATGGTGCAGTCGAGGAGCCTCACAGCTCTACTACAGCTCCGTATGGGCGTAATCGTCGTGTGTGGAGCTCTTCTCTTTGGGCACGATAAACAGACCTTCCGCCGTGGTCCAACGCGTTCCATGTTGGGGCTTGTGCACGCCCACAATTTCCATTTGGCCGGAGATAGGTCTGCCGTAGGAGCGACCCGACATGGCCAAGTACAGGCCCGTGTCGATGTGGCGCAGTCGGACATGGGCGTCCCGCATCCAGCTGTCGTTGGAGCACACCACCTCCCAATGGTCACCAGTGTCGCCGTGGCCGTCAGTGCCATAGGCAGACACCTCCTGTTCGCCGGAGAGCGGCGATGAGAAGTGATGCGAGTGCAGGTTCTTTTTGGTGGTCAGGTGCTCCAGTCGCACGGTGGAGCCGCAGGCAATGGGCTCTCCTCGCTCGCACTGCTCACCGGTCTGAGCCTTGACCACCCAGTGGCTGTTCACATCCTCTTTCTGTTCCACGCCCGTCACCGATTGCTGGCCGGATCCAGAGCCGTACTTGACGTCGTGGGAGTGCAGGCGGAAGGCGTAGTCCGAGTTCAGAAGCTTCAGTATGGAGCCGCAGGTCACCACGTTGGTTTGCGTAGCTGACGCCGGGGTTTGGAAGATGGTAAATCGAGATTAACATGAAGTCCGGAGGGGAGGCGGGAACAGCGGCGTGGCCAATCACAGAAGACCACATAGCCGCGTCCCTGGCTGGGTTTCAACTTACCGGCTCCGCTGAATATGCTGCTGACAAGTGCAAGCCCGGCCAGGAGTAGCGAGTGCTGCATGGCGTCCTGTGTGCTTAATCTGTCAGTCTATGTAGAGCTTGAATTAGCCAATAAGTGCCGGCTATCGGGGTTTAATAAAGTATTGAACACGCAAACAAATGGATTTTGTGACAGCTCAGTAGACGTTACCAGTGTGACCAAAGAATGGGAAATTCGCTAAAGATATACCAAAAAATGTATCCTTTATTTATTTTATTTTTCAATTACAAATAATTTTAATTACAAGAGATTAACATTTCCAGATATATTTACAAAAAGTAACAAATAAATTAAATTAAAAAATACCGCAAGCTCTTTGAAAATAGTAAAGTTCCAATCCAGGCATTTCGGTATTTTCCATGCAATTGTCAAAGGCGGTCATACTGCAAATTCGCAAGCAATTTTCTCCAAATAAAAGAAGAAAAGTGAGGAAAATTGAAATCAAAGAAAAATTAATGGCACACAAGCGTCTGTTTATCTACGCTGTGCTACTGGCGATATGTTATTTGGTTGGCGTGACATGGGTGAGTCCCCAATTAAGCCAGATCACATGACTTGTCCCGCACTCTCCGATCTGTGTTTTTCTTTCATTCCCGAAAATCAACAAAGGCTGAGACCGCAGCCCAGACATTGCCAGTGGGCAGCAACAACAATGCCAGCCAATTAAGTGCTCCACCCGCAGCAGCCAAACCAGCTCCAGCTTCAGCTCCCGTGGCGACTGCTGCCAAGCAAACAGGTGCGAGTCCAGGGCCCACAGTGGCACCTCCACCCAAGGTCAACGCCAATCCGCCGCCCGCAGTTCCCAGTCACAGTTCTTCCAATACAAGCAGCACGGCGACGCCATCGACGGAGTGGTAAATACGCTAACATTTAACCCATAATATTTAATTAATTATAATTAACAAAACTGAAAGTGAAATGTGTTCCCCCAAAGTCTCCCCAAGTTCCAGCATCCATCTTGATGTGTTACCTTCTTCCCATTTTAGTGTCTGTGCTGGAGCCCTGCTGCCGCGTTTGGATGCTAATGGCAAGGAGCTGCCGATCTGCGCCGAGTGCAAGTGCTCCCATGTGGCGCGAAATACGACACTGATCAAGGTTCGGCATAAATGTCCTGCTGCCGAAGATTTTGCTTGGGCTTAATTCGAATCCTTACCCTTTTCCAGGTCGTGGTCATCATTGTGATTTGGATCATCTCCATTTTAGTGATATACATGCTCTTTCTGATGTGCCTGGACCCGTTGCTGAACAAGCGAGTGAAGGCGAACTACCAGGAGCACACCAACGAAGATGTACATAGCAAGCATTCTAGATACTCGGGCATTCAGTATAGCCTCCTAGTTACGGCCCAAGGCGACGAAGAAGAAGAAGATGACGATGTTGACGCCGATGCGGCGCAACTAGTTGGCAATAAAGAAGCTCCGCACTTTTGAATAGACCCAATTGCCACAACACCCCCTTTTGTTTCATTTTCCGTTTGCGATTTCGTTTGAGTTTTAACCCACACCACACTCACATAGAGACACCAACAAGCTACTAACCAAAGATCCTCGTTTTGAACCGCACTTTACCTGGCAAAACCGACTAATTCCAAAATTTCTCCACCCATTTTCCTACCAGGACGAGCCAACGCCACCCATGCCTGCCGCCAACAACCAGGAGCTGAGTGCCAGAGCCAATGTCCTCAATCGCGTGGGCCACCAGCAGGACAAGTGGAAGCGGCAGGTGCGCGAGCAGAGACGCCACATCTACGATCGGCACACCATGCTGAACTGAGCGGGGAGGAAGTCTAATAGAGGGAGAAGCATGGGCGACTTAAGACACGTATTCCAAGCAGCAATCCACAAAGGAACTCATATTTTGGATCAAAATTAATGTACATTTAGCCACAATTACTATTATTTTAAATAAATTATGTAACCAAAGCGAATAGTTTCAATGTTCTGGAGTGAAGAGCTTTTTTCTGATATAAATTACAGCTTTCCAACCCAACTAAAATGTATCTTAATTGAAGTCTAGACATCCACAAAGTAATAAGAAGAAGTAAGAAGTATTTTGTATTTAGCCACAATTATTTTTAATAAATCATGAAACTAAATTATCCTTTTAGATGTAATTTTAATCCATACAAAAACCGCGGAGAGCCAGACCTAAACTACGTTCATTTAGCATCAGATCTGCTAGTATCCCTTGATGGTGGCAGCAAACGTCCAGTTCTCGTTGACCTGGTAGGGTCCCTCCACTCCACAGCCATTGGGTGTGCACACGCCCACAGTGTATGTAGAGCTGTTGCGGGTGTCACGGTAATACAGGACCTCCATGCACTTGCGGATCTGTAAAATTATGCAAATCAATTAGTATTCTCAATACTTTTCGAAAGAAACTATAGATGCAAGAAGCTACGTACCAGTTGAGAGGCCTCCTCCGCTGTGAACTCCTTGTCCTTTGGCTTGTTCTCGCGCACGAGGGGAACGGCCAGATGGCGGGCAAAGCCAGTAGCCACCACAAAGTCCTCGTAGGCACGTCCACGCAGGTCAACATTGGCCAGATATGGAGTGCCGTTCTGTTCAACGCCACCGACCACCACATCGATGTACAAGGGATTCATGCGGGAACGTCGGTTGTAGAGCACACGGGTCATCCAGCTGGCTAGGGACTTGGGCTTCATCTCGATATTGTCGTCGTAGCACTGATCCTCGATCATCTTTTGGTCAATGTTGCGCATGATGGACTGGATATCGGCAAAGTCACCGCTGCCGCCCAACAGAATGTTCTTGTTAATCTTGAACACACGGTCGATGTTTTGGTAGCGGGCCAGAGATCCGTAGGACACCAGAGTATCCGCGGCAAGCATGACGCCGCCGTCGTAGCGAATGCCCAGCACGGAGGAGCCCGTGGTGATGGCAGCTCTGTTGAAGATTAAGGGGGTATTATAAAAGGTTAAGCAAAAAGTTATAGCCTTTATTCGTACGTGCTGCGCTTGGTTCCATAGGGTCCGGCGGTGGTCAGCTCACGGGGCAACTTCTGGACCGTTTGTCCGCCGGTGAAGTTGTAGAACTCGCCGGGCGCCGGTCCGTTTTGCCACAAGGGCTGCGCCATTCCATTGTAGTTGTTCAACATTATAATTTGTTAGTTTTAAATGCTTTTACAAAAAATCAAATTGTTTGCCGGAGAATGACGGGCACAATTAATCGAAGTCAGCCAAGTGTGACCAGCTTGCTTTCTGACCGTGATCCGCGAATATACCAGTTTTAAATATACCGATTTTACACTTTTTACAAATGCGAAGGATCTGGCAACTCTATTTTTATTGTGACAGACGACAGCTGATTTTTGTGTTTGTTTCCAATTGTGAAATTAACGGGACTGCAATTGTATCTTTTAAAAATGCTGGAAGCTCGTTTGGGTGAAACTTTGCTGCTGAAGAAGATTGTGGAGGCGCTGAAGGAAATTATAAGCCAAGGCACACTGGACTGCAGCGATACGGGCTTTCAGGTGAAATGTAAACCCCAATTATTCGTTTACTAAAGAAATTTTTTGTTTAATTTCAAAAAGGGATACGTATCGACACAATTATTATCTAAACATTGCGTATATGAATGAAAATATATCTTAATTTTACTTTAGTTTTACGTTTTTTTGTCTGTACAGGTTATTTTTCATCAGAGGGTCAATGTTGATTTGGTTGTGATACTTGTAAAATATCCTTAAACAATTAAAAAAATTTCATAATGTTTTTTTATTTTAAAAACATTATTAATACATCATTATTTCCAGTTAAATTTGATTATTTATTGGTTAGCTTACACTATTCTTCCTGATGTTCTTATAAACTTACAGGGTATTACATTTTAAAACGTTATACACAAGGAATATTAGAATACCCCTGCAATCCAACACTTCTTTAAAGTTAATAATTTCATGAAAATATTTCCAATCCATGTATAAACATTGTATCTTTGCGTATAGCTACAATCCATGGACAACTCACATGTGTCGCTCGTGGCTTTGTGCTTGCAAAGGGATTGCTTTGAGAAGTTTCGTTGCGATCGCAACGTCTCCCTGGGACTGGACCTCAAATCCCTCGCCAAGGTGCTCAAGTGTACCAATAGCGACGACACAGTCACAATCAGTGCATCCGACAATCCCAGTAAGGTGCTCCTCAATTTCAATTCAAAAGAGAGCGAGCGAAGCGCTGAATATGAATTGAAATTACTCAATTTGGAAGAAGATCACTTGGGCATTCCTGATACCGACTACGCCTGCACCATCCTGATGCCTTCAACCGAGTTTGCCCACATCTGCCGGGATATGGCCATGTTCAGCGAGACCGTGACGATAGCGTGCTCCAAGCAGGCCGTCAAATTCTCTGCAAACGGTGACTTGGGCTCGGCCAACATAAAACTGAGTGAGGGCGGCAAAATGAATGTGAGCATCCAGGTGGAGGATCAACTGGTACAGACCTTTGCCGGGCGCTACCTCAACACCTTCACCAAGGCCACCCCACTAGCTGATCGTGTTAAGATTTGCCTGGCCGCCGAAGTTCCGCTGCTGGTAGAGTATCCCATAGAGGATTTTGGATATATTCGCTACTACCTTGCGCCCAAGGTGGACGATGTCGACGTGTAATAAATCTTTATATTTAATATTTATACAGGGCCTGTCAATACGCATTATTTGTTATCTAATTTTATGTTCAACCAGATACTTTATTTAAATCGATTTAAAATAAAAAATATACAATTGAAAACATATAGACACTCTTTGTTGCCGGTATACCAGTACACATTATATATAATATAGGTATGTATGTATATTTTTATGCGAATAATGCACGCCTTCCTAGGGGAATGTTCAGGTTCGCCTTGCGCATCTTGCAGATGCCATAATACAGTCGATAATATCAGTTGCTTGATTGAGCCAAGCTAAAAACAATGACGGGGAGACCCGACCTTTAACACGATACGAATAAGGATACCCTACGCAAGACTACGAGCTATTTGTCACGGCCAATGGTTGATGCTTCTTAATTCTAAGGGTTTAAAGCTTCTAATCCTTGCAGCAGCAGTACACATTATCGCTGGAACTGGCTGGGGTCGAGGGCGTGGTGCCGCTCTTGAGCGGCTTGCTGTAGGAATGAGGTCCTCGCATGAATACCTCGATCAGTTGACAGTGCGACCTGAAAGAATTCGGGTTTTTGTAAAGCTGTTCTAATCGATTAGAATTACCCACCTCATAGTTATGTCCAAGTCAGTGACTACCTCGCCGTCACAGTTCCAGCTAGAAAACTCCGTGGAAGGGGATGAGGCGCCCATCTCTCCAGGCGGAGAAATGGGCTGGCAAGAGCCTGCCAGGCTGTACTCCTCATCGCCTGCCGCGGCCAGTGTCCTAAACTGGAACTTCCTGGTGCGATACACCTCAACGAACGGCAGATTACGCTGTAAAAACGAATAATTTTTAATGAATATGACTTATAATGTAAATATACAGTAAAAAAAAACTTACTATATCACCGCTTCTGCCAGCCGTGTTGAGCAGGAATCGCACATTATTGAGCAGCGAGGTCTTCTTGACCAGAATCAGGTCCAGGCATCCATCACCCAAGTGACTGTATCGGGAGATGCCATTGGGACTCCTGGCGCAAGCACAGGTAATGTTTGCTCCGCAGATCATGAAGAAGTTGCCTCGCACCACTTTCCACTGCTCGTTAGCGAGGTTCCTCATCGATGAGATGGAACCAGTGGGTAGCTGAAGGTTTCCAGGACGAGGACGAGGCCTCAATAAGGCAGACTCGTTAGCAGTCAAATGGGAATCCTCTGGTTCCGGCTGCTCCCGCAGACTCAGCTGCGATTTCCTGGACTCCTCTTGGAAAAGCAAAGTAGACTGCTGCTCCTGGATGCTGCTTGCGAAGCTGCAGCGCTGGCAATTAGCATAGCACACGGAGGGCAGTGACTCGCCCAGAGAACACACGCTGTCAGGGCTCTGCGGCACCTCCTCCATCGGCGTAGTTAGCAGGTGATCTGGTTCTTCTAGCAACCTCAACTCTGCCTCGTAGCCCCGATTGCTGAGGAAGGCCTTGACCCCGCTGTATTCGTACCTTCTCGGTCCCATCCAGCGATAGTTCTCACTCTGGGCAGCCACATCCCCTAGGTAACCGTAGCTCAGGACACTGGCACAAAACCGTAGCAGGGATTGGCCATTGCTCACGCTGCACACATCCAGGCCGCGATGTTGGCCCAGGATCACATGAATTGCCGCTGTCCTTACATCCGCCGTGCCATGCATGCTGTAAGCAATGGTATCCGTGCTGCCGGCGGGAATCACACCCACAGGAAGGGCGGGTCTTGGAATGTAAGGTGGCCGCTGCTCGTCCAGTTCTAGCTCCCTCATTCGCCGGAACAGCAGCCCGTTGATCACCTCCGCCACGGTGCCATCGCCTCCGACACAGCAAACCGCATCATACACTCCCAGATCGTGGCTAAGTAATATATCCCTTACTTGGTTCGCCCTTTGAGTAGTGATGCAGGTGGCATCCACACCAGCGAGCTGGAAAATGGGTCTCACGTGCCGTTCGTAGGTCTGAGCGCCTGCCTTGCGACCGCCATAGGGATTAATGAAGACCAGAAGGCGGCGCACTCGCATCCTTGTAGGCGAAGGGCTGTACAATCGGATCTGCAGCTCCTGATCCCACTGCCTCACTATATACGGATCCGAGTTGAAGAAGGTCAGCCGCCTCAGCTCCCAACGATTGCAGTCCGTTTGAGATTTACTCAACCTCAAGGCATAGTTAATGGTCAGGTACTGACTGGTAGGCTTCGCCGGCACACCCTCGCCGCTGCCGCTGGAGCTCCGATTCGAACTTGGAGGTGGCGGAGGTTTAAGGGAAGCCACCTTCGTGTCCCCACTCCTCACACTGATCACATCGTCGAGGTGGAGGACATGGCTCTGTGGACTATACAAGCAGGCGCCTCCTGGCTGAGAGGGCGAGTCTGCCGGAAGTGGAGCCTTGGTGTCACTGGTCGGATGCGGCGGCTTTATCTTCTGCAGGCGCTCCCACACCAACTGCTGGCCATGAAGCAGGACACGGTAGCTCTTTTTCTTCAACTGGAAATTATTCAGCAGGACATCGTGGGCGGAGGCGGAGCAGGGGTTAAATTTGGAGTCCCCCGTGGAGCTGATGGGGGCGATGAAGTCGGAGGCCGAGGTGGACGACCCTCCTGCTGGCTGCTTGGTCTGCGTCATCTCGACTGGCCGTCGTCTCCGTCTCCGGCAACGTCGTCGGCTTTGTCGGCACTGCGAAAAGAAAACAGGTTTTCATTAGAAATACAGTGGAACGTTAATAAGTCCAACTTAGTGATGATTTGAGCTACTGAAGGCTTCAAGTCGAAGCTGGTAAAATAATGAAATTGTAAGTTTTAAAGTTTGAATAATGAAATTAAGATTTCAGATAATTAAATGAATTCATAAAATAATCAGTTACAAATCGGGGAGAAATTGAAATGTTTTTTTACAGGTAATTTAATTAGTTTTGAATACTTATTTATACTTTTTTGTATGTTTTTATTTGGACTATATTGAAAATATTATATCTATGAAATTTAACGCCATGACTAAAGTATTAAAACACAATATTATTGACAATAATTAGGTCATGTGAGTATTTCAATTATAATATAGAACCGGGCAGAAGGATTTAAAGTACTAACTTAAAGCTATTGTCCAAGTTGCCGTTAGGGAAGCTTGACTATCTTTGTAATCACAAAACGAGAGGGCAAGAGTGGGAGAAGATTTGGAGCTGGGGAATGGTAGTTACTCCTCGAAATAAATCTGAGTTACGACGCTCCATTCTCTTTCCGTCTGATGTTCCACCTTTGTGACTTGGCATCTTGCGTCAGCTTTTCGACGCTTAATTGTTGTAATGAGAGGTGTCGATAGGGCAAAAGGGTGGGTAATGGGAAAAAGGTGACTCAATTAACTTTTCGGTGGCATTTTCAAAGCTCGGTCAACCCTCCTCCCAACCTGATTGTCGGTGTCATTAGCATAAACACGTTAATTTTTCAATGAAAACTCTGATAGTCGAAAAAAATATACTATTTGTGCCTAATGGTGGGTATACCTACAAGTTATGGTTCATTGATCATAAAGTCATTTGTAATGCCATAAAAAAACGCAATATTGAGGGTTCAAGACCAATTTTACTTTATAGATACCATTTTTTTGATAATAATAAAATAATTCGAGGCACTCCTAAATTCAAAGGTAAAACATAAATAATTATTTTACAATAACTAGCAGCATTCTAAGTAAGCAGGTAGAATGTAAATTTTAAGAAATAAAAATTTAAATAGAATCAATAATTGTTGCTCGTAATTTGGCAATGATTCATAGGCTCCCTTTAACAAAGTTATCGCAAAGAATTTTAATTCTTGGTAATTGTGACAAGCCAAAGACCACCATGAACATGTACTGCATTATCAGCTGCCAGTTAATTATACATATAAATTATATCAAAGAGTAATAAATAAACTCAAAATTAAGGTTTCAAGGCTTGGTTATTTCAAAAATAATTATACTAATTAATGTAGGACAAGGAATTATAATAAAAACAGTTTTATTTTTAAAAGTTCTTAGTTGCCATGAAAAGTCGCCTCAATATAATTATAATAAATTCGTTTTTGTTTATTGAGTGACCAGCTCCAATATGTCCTCGACCCCTGATCACTCAATAAATATTCACTGTACCTCTTGTTATAGAACTGATTGCGGCGTTGCTTCGAAGCTTATCGGTGGCAGCAATTGCACATTCTCGGAAGTTGCTCGACCAAGTTGTAGCTTATATACATTACGCGAATCGTGCTCATAGCTCACTGAACTGAACACTCGAAGAAAACTGCGCAAATGTGCAAAAAACTGGTTTAAATTGTAGGCCAAGTAATGGGAAGGGAAATCAACAAAATACAATGCAAGAGGACAAGCCGAAATGAGTTGAATGAACTCATGATTGCAGTATTCGAGGCTGGAGAGAAGAGAAATAGCTGTCAGGCATCCGCAATTTCACAGCCAATGAAACTATAAAAAGACTTCTTCTGAAATACTTCAAAGAATTCACAAATGCAGCAGACAATTAAACTAAAAGTAAGTGTGAATCATAGTCCACTTGACCAGAACCAAACAGGTTCTCCTCCATTCACTTCACGTTTAGACCGTACATTTTATGATTTCTTATTTACTAACAATAAACAAACGCTTTGAACATTTTGCGAGAGAGTGAAAAGATCTGGGATAAGCATTTCATAGACACATCTGCGGACCATACAATATTATTAACGAGGTTTTTTAGAGGAGTTCCACCAAGAGCAAGAATATTTGTAGAATTTTTATTAAGACTCATAGGATAATGGTATTACCTGAAACAACCTTTAAATATAATAATCACTCTTTATAGTTAGTTATTATAGTTATTAGTTTGATGATACTCAACCTGAGGTATTGTCAAGTCTTTATTTTAACCCCACCTGTTTATAAGTTCTTAAAACCAAACCGCTAACAATGAATCGTCATATTTCACGTTTGGGAAGTATAATAAGCCAACGTCTGTACCATACATGAAAGAAAAAATATGCAAATAAATAGAGAATAGAGAGATATTCCGTGTTTAGTTGAGCGAGTAGCAAAAACAGACTGAGTTGTTGCTAATTGGAGAGTCGCACACATGTGAATGTCTGAAGGCAGAACTCACGCTAACAAAGCCCGTTTCATGCGGCGTATGAGCAACGCAACACAACGCAACGCTCAAGGTTAACGACGGCACCCAAAAACCCGCAAAAAATCGGTTTTAGAATCGCCCCAGACACGGAGAAAAAAGTGGACCGGAGAAGCTGTGTTCGAGTCGCAAGTCGCTTGGAAAACGAGTTCTCCCCGCTCGAGTGGCGTGCAGCCGGCGACCTTCGCCTTGAATCGCTCGAGTAATCTTGGCCGGACTGCAATAACCGGCTGCTGGTTATTAAAAGCCATTAAAACAACCTCGGACCTTGTCCAGATCTCACATCTTGCATCTCAGCTGCAAGTTTATATACATATACGGCTTAAAGTCGCATTTCCTGACACTCGGTCTTGACATTGCCCAGAGGAGAGGCCTTTTCTGATGGGGTTTTTAGCTTGCCAGTCGGTTAATGGGAAGGCAAATAATAAATATACATTTTCATCTACCTGGTAGGTATAATACATTAGCCTCAGCTGAGCTTTAACAATTTGCAAACTGTTTTGACATTGACAATTATTGCACCAAGCAATAAAATATTCCTTTTTAAAACGTTATTATAAATTGTGATTTTTAATTATTTTGCTTTCCCTTGAAGGGCTACAAAAATTGCAGTTGAGTATTCATTTCATTTGATTTGTTTTTTTAAATAATATAAAACATTTATTATCTTATATAAAATTGTTTATTATATAAGTGGAGTATTATACAAAATCGTTTTTAATATAAATATTCACCCCACGTTTTTACTTGAACTAATTTCACGACAATATTAAAATAATGCCGAGTTCCCTTTGCTCATTATAATGTTTAAGGCTCACCAAATCATGCTCGATGCCAAAAAATAATTAACTCTTAACCTTACATTCTCTTTGTAATGAATCGAACAATGTTTTTTTATAAATAAACCACACAACAGCAGCCAACAAAAATACCCATTAAATAAATATTTATTCGTGTCTCTCTCTCCGTCGAAACAAGATGAAAAAAATCAATCAAAAACAGAATGAAATGAACAGAAATGCCACTCATCGGAAAACAGAAATTGAAAGCACAACAAACCGCCAAACAAGAGGCTTCCCCTCAGGAAATGTGTAAACATATACACGCAAAGTAAATTAAATAAAATATGAATAATTATACACGAAACGAAGCCCGTTTGAATTGGGGGTGATGTGGCAAAGGGAAGCGGAACCCGGCAATTTGCTATTAATGATAGGGGGTCGAGGCGGGCCTACTTTGATAACACACAACTAATAGGGTGCTAAATTCGAATGGGATAATAAATGTGCTTGTTTTTTTTATATAATCGTTTATTGTTATACTAATACAATAAGTACCACCTCGAGTGAGCACGCAACAGATCTGTTCAGATAATTAATTACAAAATGCTCTAAACGACAACAAAATATTTGTAAACATAATATTCAGAACTAATGTAATTATTAACTCGGTGTGGAAATTCGTACCTACTATTTCATAAGGAGCCATTCGAATTCGCACTTTTATCTGCACTGGCTTATCAGCAACTCAAACAATAACAATCGAGTGCTTTAGTACCCTATGTATAGACCGGGGTTATCTCTGAACATGTGTGGGTCTGCATGACACGTCGGAGGCATTTAAAGAGCACCATATACATACATATATTCCTCTTTACTAGATGCTTTACACATACATACATGGGGGTCGATAAGATAGATGACATCAAGTTATGGTTAAAGTACAACGTGGGTGTTGCTGGTCAATATAAATACAGAACTCGTCATGGCACTACTAACATCAAAAAGCGGAAAAATCAATAATATACTCAACGGAAAGGGAATTTACATAGCATATAAAATCGATATTAAATACTGTTATCTCACTGTCTAGACAGTAAATCGTGTTAATTTCTCTGTGTCGTTAAGTTCTTAGTACCTCATATAGCTGGGTCTAATTTCACATAATTTATATCCCCATCACTCATTTCGATATCAGAGCGACTGACAGCAATAAGAATTTAATTACAGTGTGCTTAGCAAGGTGAAAGAGTCGAGTTCATGTAGGACTATATCAACCTGGTGTCTATGGCCCGATAAATGACGAATCAATGCGTGTGAAGCTTAAACGACCACAGAGCGGAAATGTGAACCACATTTAAGGGGGTAAACTGATAACGAGATAAGGGCCAGATGGAACGGAAAGAGAAGTACACATGGTAAAGTTATCAATAATTAAAAAGCATTTTCATTTAACTTTCTAGCTGACTAGCAGCTGGAATAGATAGCACTTTGCAAAGGCTCTAACCTGTTTACTTGCTTTACCCTTTAGTAGGTTATACAATCTTGACCTGCTTTATCGTGCCGGCCATAGATCAACCCACGTCTGACCTTTTCGACGGTACACGCAATCCACACCAAAAAGTCCAAAACTACACCACAATAAACAAGCCTAGGAGCTCCCACTAAATTGTGTGAGGGCATTAATCAGTGCTATAAAGCAGCTGGCTCATACACAACGATGTTTTCAGTATTGCATGCACAGCCGGTAAGAGAAAATGTTTGAAAAAATATGGAAATTGCATAGAGTAAAACAAGCTTACAGTATTCAATTGGGAAATTATAGCACGCTATTTTTAGCCATTAGAGGAAATTAAGAGATTTACTAGGAAACAATCTATTTATATACTAGAACAATATTTATAGTTTTTACTGTATCAATGTTCCATTTTATAATCTATATTCATTTATTGGTTATCATTTAGTTATTGTAAAAAGCAAATTAATTATATTTTTACAGATAAGAATACAGATATAGAATACAAAATGTATATGTGTTCCTACTTATAAAATTGTGACTAAGTAGTTTTTTTTTTTATTTATTTATCTTATTTTTTTGTTTAATTTAATTTCAATAATAAATAAATCATTTTTAGATACATGTCGGGTCATTGAACTTTGACTTTATAATATTAATCTTTCCTTTTAATAACTACTTTATTCATATGAATTGCGCTTGCTCGAACTCTACTGTGCTCGAAAGTAAAATGTTTATATTGGGACTGGCCGCAGGCCAAAAGGGGGGCCCACCCTAAACAACCCCCAAAAACAATAACAAGTCTTCGAAAAGGCCCCCAAATCTCGGTTCACTCGCACTCGCCTCAACCTTAGTGTGCGTGAGGGGGATGGCTTCGTTAAGAGAAGGAGCAAACGAGACAGAGCATCCGTCATTTCCATACTACGCCAAGCTCCGTTATCAGAACAAAACACAGCTGTGGAAACAACAACAACGCAGCTGTGTCTGTGTGTGTGAGAGTGTGTGGGTGTGGAGCACACTGGTGTGTGTGCCTGGCTTGAATGTCTGCTTTTAATTTCAACTAATTTCCACTCAACTATACGGGTACCAGCCAATGCCCTTACTCGTTTCCCCCCACCTTAGACTCTAATTGGAATGCCGGTTTTCTAGTTGTTGTTATTGGGAACTTACCTAGTAGACGGGTATGTCCGCTTATCCATACAAGTACTGCACGGCGTTTTCTTTTGTTGCAGTTGCGCAGTTTTTCCTTTCGCTTGGGAAATCAAGAAAATTCGATACGGATACGCATTGCAGTTTCGCACACTTGCACTTGCACTTAGCTTTCACATGCACTCACGCACAGACGTCACAAGATGAAAGCAGGTGCTAACGGCTCTTTGACATGACCGTTAGTCTGCGTCGGCACTGCTCCCTTTTCGCGTATTCAAAACAAAGAATTTGCAAAACTTGTAAATTTGGCAAACATGAAATTTCCGTTTCCGCGCCGCTATAACAACCGTTGATTTCCGCCGACTTTGTTTCTTCGAGTGCTGAAAGCTCCATTTGTTATGCCTCTGAGATATATAGTTTCATTTGTGCCTAAAATAAACCAAAAAGCGAACGGTAATGCGGTTATACTGGTTCAAAAATATGGAATGTAAATCAAGACGTAGAGAGACATGTAAGAAATTGTCACTAGTGGCCTGGGGTTACGCATCTTATAATTTAATTAACTCTTTTGGAACTCATATTAAATCAAGTTTTGTGTTTTGACGAAAGACAGAGTAAAATAAAAAAAATAATAAACGATTTGGATTCACATATATGATGTAAAAAACGGCTAAGTTTCAGGCAAAAGAGTTCATAGTTTATAGCTGAGAATATAATAAAAAAAAATATGTAAAATCTAAATTTAATATAAAAAATTAATGAAGCCAGTTAAACATTCGGTTGGAGAATAATATTGATTGATTTAATTTTAATTATATTAAAATCGTTTTAAAGTTCGTAATACAAAACCCCATTGCACTTTCAATATTTTTAAAATATTATGTATTCCTTGTGCTCAGTACAAAAGCGGATTGAATACTTTACCTTGATTTCTATTACATTTCGGAATTAAAATTAATTTTTGTTTGAGTTTAGAAGTTTAAGAATTTATTACAGTTTGCAGAAAATAAAACTCAAATTTATTGTGGAAAAATAACTTGAGAATTTGTTATTCAGATCTAGGTTTTTTGTATTGAAACCTAGAAACTCCTACCAATTATGAAAGATACAAAAGTACATTAAAAAACTCTCTTTGCGAACTCTGTCAGGTACTGTCAGTTTATCTAAGCCTCTGTCGGTAGCATAGCCTGTGTGGAGAACCAATTACTAAGCCTTTTCTTAAAAATGTGTAAGTATTTTGTAGTCCATTAACCGCGAATCCCCGAATCGCTAAAGAAACCTCCGGCAGCGAATACTGGCAAGATCAACTCTTCATGTCCCTGCGGCACCACCGGCGGTGCACCAATAGCACCGTCTCACCGTCCGCCCCCCGCTGGCTGTCAGCAGCAGGACTATCAGCAAGCTCCGTCATCCCAGACACCCGCCGGTTGCCAGCTGCCGCCACAACAAATACCGCAGCGACCGCAAGTTGAATGCTGCTGCGCCCAGAATCGGGTCCGCAACGTCCGCCCGCAGCCCGCTATCCAAGCTGATGTTATTCACTGCTGCCGCCCTCCCCCCGTGCAGGCGCCGCCGCCGGATTGCCCACGATGCAGCTGTCGCGACAACATTCCGCCCCCGCAGCCAAAGCCATGTACTTGCACTCCACTGCAGCCAAAGCCGCAGCCGTGCAATACCACGCACGTCCACATGCCCTGCCCCCAGAGTCATCGAGGTGGTCCGGTGCCCTATCAACGCCCAGTTCCGGCTTGCGCTCACTGCCGCTCTCAAAATAAGGGCGCTAAGAAGAAGTGCGTTATCCAGTGAGAGATCGGATCCCAGCAGGCGCTACCCGGCAGACAACACAGATTACACAAACCAGAAACAGACGAAACATGAAAGTTCTCCCAAATTTTGGCCCTGCTAAATTTTCAGTCCTTGCCTTTTTTTCTTCATCGAAATAAAAATCAATAGTGACTGCTAATGGGCAAGTAGATCCGGGAAATTGGGGTACCCCTTTCCGTAACCCCCGAAACCTTCATCACAGGGAGCGGGCACAGCACCTGCGGCAGGACGCCGCGACGATGTTGCACGAGTGTCCCCTGCTATAGGCCTTATTCGCTAAGATCACCCTCGGCTTGTGCAGACCCCTGTTGCATTCCTCCAAGGCCGCCTCTACGCTGTAGGGACACCGATATCTGCTGCCCCACCCGGACTCGGGACCGATGTCGCAGTAATCACTGTTGCCAGCGCTCGCAACGACCGTGCGTCCCATGCTGCAGCCCTTCTTGCGCAAGAATATGCTACCGGGATGCTTGCGCCATGCCAATATGTCATCACCCTTTGGGCGCGCGATGCAATTTCGACGGTACGTTGGATTGCGAGTGCAATGATCCCGACTATCAGTGCTATCCTTGTACGCATCGTGCATGTAGTAGAGGAAGATGTAGGAAAAGGAATGTATCAGTCCACACCTATGTGGACTATGACGGAAGGCGTTATCCACAAGTCCCTTGCCAAGCACCCTGTGCATATGGACCATCCTGCGGTACTAACCGAACGCTACTATGAGGACAAAAAAAGTTTGTAAAATTCCTGATTTCCTACAGACTCCCCGGAAGTGTACTATATGAACTGTCCATATTAATGATGATTTGCAATACCTGGAATAAGTAAGAACACCTGCTCCTAAATTAACAACTTGAAAGCTAATCGTTATTAATGGATTTATCTTGTGTTTATCTCAAATTACTTATATTTATTGACAGCATCATTTGCCGGAAACAAGACTGCACAGACTACTCTGCTTTGAGTGATATTTTTGGTATTGTAAGCGCCATTTGGATATTACTCATCCGACAGGGGGACTGATGCCGCAGTCAACATCTTTTGATCCTTAATCCTTTCAAATCTTGCGCTTAACTTGCCATGCCCAAGCCGAACGTGGTGAAAACGGTATTTATAGGACCAAAAGGATGAGCTTTTACCTGCCAGAAGATATCTTCTCCTTGTCCTTGGTCGCTGGCCTGGAAATACTCGGGTTCCAATCCATGTGACATCTGTCTTCCCACTTCCTGGGATGCTGGGAGCCTTCAGCCTGGAACTGGCCACTTGGCGGCACATTTGATGGTCCAAACGCAGCTATTTGTGGGTACTTTTCACATATTTACTTTTAAGTTAATTTTTGGACTTTTCCGCTGTAAAATATCGATTTTCGATATCGATATCGATAGTCGATGTACGCAACGAGCCAGACTATTTGCACTCGATAGTCATTTTTCCTCGTTCGCTCTTCGGTCACACTGAAAACATAAAAACACGCCAAACACGCCGAAATTGTGTTAATTCTATAATTTTTCTAAAAATCAGAGAAAAGCCTAACTTATCGAGCCATGGATGATGGAGACTTTGACAATGACGAGTTAGTAAAGCCAAAATATCAAAAATATTTTCTGGAAGTGCTTTAATTGGGGTATTTCCTCTTTCCAGTGTTGGCGGCGACGATTTCGATGATGTCGACGAGGATGTGGACGAGGACATTAACCAGGAGGAGGAGGCGGACAACATTGAGATAATTGCACCCGGGGGAGGAGGAGGCGGCGGCGTTCCAAAGTCCAAGCGAATAACCACCAAGTACATGACGAAATACGAACGTGCCCGAGTTCTGGGCACCCGAGCCCTCCAAATCGCAATGTGTGCACCCATCATGGTAGAGCTGGACGGTGAGACAGACCCGCTGCAGATCGCCATGAAGGAGCTTAAGCAGAAGAAGATCCCCATTATTATCCGCCGCTACCTGCCGGACCACTCGTACGAGGACTGGAGCATAGACGAGCTGATCATGGTGGATAACTAGCTAGTACACAACTTAATTACAACTAACGAAATATACAAATTAAGACTAAGGCTGCCTAGCCACAAAACACATGCTCTTCGCTTTGAACTATTTCCCAGGGGAGCTGGCAATATTTAACAAGTCCACAATTCACCAAGATAGATTAGCTAGTAGACAATTTTATTACAAGTAACAAAACATACAAATTAAGACTAAGGCAACAGGGCGATGCCCAAGCAAAAGCGGATCGACCCTTAGCTCCAGGCATATCCCTCGCCCCTTTGGTAACAAACTCGCTCTAGAAGACCGACCGCGTGCTGTCCAGTGCGACAAATTGAGGCCACGACCTGTGGCAGCAGGCCGCATTCGGAGAGATTCTGCTCGCCAAAGACCTGTCCGGCGGCATCCTCTCCTTCACCCTCCGATTGGGGCGTTTCCGGGCTCTCGAGCAACTTCTGTGTGGCCTTGCTGAACGCCAGCGTGTTGATGCTGCTGGCCAGCGTTGAGCTGAACATCTGGCGCGTCTCGCAGAGCAACTCCGCCACACTGGGTAGAAATGTGGGTAGGATCAGACCCTTGATGTCCACACTGAAGTAGTCGACGCCGTCGAGGCGTACCTTCTTGGACCGCGGCACCAAGTGCTGCATGGTGGCCTTGGGAAAGGCCACTGGAGAGAGTAGAGTGGGTGGCACCCCGGCCAGGCGTCCCACCGTACTGATGGCACTCTTGGCATTCAGAAGGTAGCTGAAGAATCCCTGGCACTCGACACCATCGATTAGGAGAAGTGAGTTATCGCTGAAATCTTCGCGCATCTCGGCAGCCTGCTGTTTCCTGGCATGCGAGGACTTGATGCGACGCAGCTCTCTCTCGTCTACGCCCAAACTTTCCAGCCAGTCCTCGTCTTCGTCCTCATCTTCTTGGGCAGGTGCCGCCGGGATGTCCTCCGCTGTCTCTTGGGGCAAAGAGCTGCTGGTGCTCTCCTCGGTGAAGCTGTTGTCTTGCGCGCTTCCGCTTGCCTCGCTCTTCAGCGGCATGGTGAACTCAATGCCCTCTTGACGCAGGGCCTGACGCATTCCGCGCGTTGAGGGCGTGACCAGAGCATGGCTCTCCGCCCGACCACCCACTCCTGCAGCTCGGAATAGCACGGTAAATGTGTTGGCGCACAAGTAGAAGTAGGGACACTGCCGAGCACGCAAGAGCTGGAACAGCCCCCGAAAGCTGTAATCCCACTCCTCGGCCAGAGCCTTGCGCTCCCGTTCGCCCACAACCACGCCCACGTTTTCCTTGGCGGTGCGTGGAAAGAGCGTCAGCCAAGGCAGATGCGGGTGCTGCCAGTAATACGTGCACTGATTGAACCGCGTGGCATCCGAGATGTCCAACGTGCTCTCCGTTCGCTGCGGATCCATGCAGCGAACGAAGCTGGTGAGGCCGCTGGCCAGTTGCGAGGTCTTTAGCTGGATGGCGGGCAGCTCTGTGGGACAGAAAAAGCGGGCTCGCGTCTTCAGGCACCAGTCCACGGGCAGATGGGCAGTGTGCTTCTGCCGGGCAGCCAAATCAGCATCCTCCTCATCCTCTGCACTGGCTTGGGGCTGCTGGAATAGTTTGGCAAAGGCTTGGGGGTCATATTTCTGGAGCGCGAACTTCGCAGGCGGCGGACGTGTCGGGGTTTCCCGCACAAAGCAGGAAGAGGCGGTGACCACGGGCTCGCTTTCCGACACTTCCAGATCAACTCGCAGCTTCTTGGCGGCATCTGTGGACCTGTATCGTCAAGTGATGGTGACTATACTTCCAAGGACAAGGCGGATTACTCACTTGGCAAAGGGATTCTTTCGCTTTTGGGCCAGCTTGGCCTCCAGTAGTTTGCTCTTGTCAGTCTCATCCAGCTGAAGATCAGGTCGCTTGTTGTTGTTGTTGTTGCTAACACGAGCAGCTAACTTGTTCTTCTTCTGTTTAAGCCGCTGGAGCTTTATAAACTAAAAGTAACAATAAAAACGTTAGTTGCAGGTGGGTGTTGCTCTGAATCTGGACTCACATCATCGGGGCGCGTCCATTTGGAGGACAAACTTCCTTCGCTGGACATGCTGTTTACTGCAGTTGTCCAATTACACTTAACAATCTATATACACTTTTTGCAGACAGGATAATTAAACAATTCCAAGTTTCCTTTTACCAAACAGCTGGAATGGCGCGCACTAGAGCTGACACAAAAATCGATAATCAATCAATCGGCGGCCTGCAATCGAATAGTCATTAGCGTGTCGACATATTTGGCAGAAGAGAAGACGGGCACACTGCGTGAATTAAACCACAAAAAATATTAACGTTGTCAAAATTAACGTTAAAACCAAGTAAAACTTTTTCTATTAACTGCTGGAGTGCCCCTCACAAGTTCATCTTTGTCTGGCCACTGTGGTGCTTATCCCCGCCTCCAGCCAACCATTTGTTCTTGGTTTAATTTAAGCATTAGAGGGCAGGGCCAAATAAGTTTAGTAAACAATGGATATCACAAAAGTTTGCCGCGTTTGCGCGAATCAGATAAGGAACCAGAGCCGCCAACGAAACATATTCAAGTATATGCGCGGCAAGTTGAATGACCAACTGAAACTGATTACAGGAGTAGAGGTAGTATCCTCGCTTCCCATACAAGACTTGGTAATTCATGTTGGTACTCCTTGTTTCTTCCAGCTGACTGCCACTGAAGGACTCCCTGAGTTTCTCTGCGACCGCTGTACATCCGAGCTGGACTTGGCTGTCAAGTTCCGAGAGCGGTGCATCTTCTCGCAAAAGTATTTGCTGGACATTAAGACTAAAACGCAAGATCTTCATCCCAGCAAGATAGCCTCTCCAGAGCTCCATGAGCAGCTGATTGACGCCGAGGAGTTCGTGACCTGTAATGAAGAAGATGAGGTGGAATCGCATACGGACGAAGATCCTGAGGCATTGGTAATGGCAGCTGCGGAACAGGCCGAGATCCAGGAGAAACGGCAGGAACGGGCCTCAAAGCGGAGCAAGAACTTCTTCATTTGCAATGAGTGCGGGCGGATTTTCAACGACGAGTGCCAGTACAACGATCATCTGGAAGGCCATCTCGGGCGCCGGGAGATGAGGCATTTCTTTCCGTGCCCCGAGTGTCCGCAGATCTTCAAGAGAAAGTTTACGCTCAAGGAGCACCGGACTCGGAACCACTTGGGTCATCGCCAGTTTGTATGCTCTACCTGCAACGAAGTGTTCATCGCCCTGGGAGACAAGTTGCGTCACGAAAAGTCAGTAGTTTGATGACCTCTTATTTATTTCAGCTTTACTCAACTCATCTTTAAATTCATGTTTTGCAGAGCTCATCAGAACGAAAGGCCTTATCCGTGTCTTGAATGCGGGATGTGTTTTTCCAGCGTCGTGGAACTGCAGGCACACAGTTCCACTCATCCAGAAGACAAGTGGAAATTCAGGTAAGATCATGCTTTGCACAGCTCCTTGATCCCATTTACAATGGTCCTTCGTACTATCAGATGTGAGCCCTGCAACGAAAATTTTCAATCTCGCAAAGACGTTCAAACGCATTCTAAGACGGCAAACCACAAGCTCATGACTAAACACATGCAGGATGAAATTACCAAGTTGTTTGACAGTTAAATGTGTCGCTTAGATATTAATAAACCCATATATTCTCATTCATCGTCACATTCACATACTATTGTTATATTCATGTCATATTTATGTTAAATATGCTTCCACTTATGAAATTAACCCAGGACCTACTGTTTTTGTAGAATTTTATTTTATTTATTTAATAAAGAAAGATGATTTTAAAGTTTACCAAACTAATTATAACAGGGGGCTGTAGTGCTAGCTTGGACTACATAATTTTATGAAGATATAAAAATGATGTTAAAAATATATTATTGCAATGATTTGCATGATATTATTATTTTAGTCAAGAGCTTGACAAGCTGTGAAGGAGAAGGAGAAGGAGAACTAGCACCAAAAAGCCTTCCGAATCGAATTTGATGCATTTTTGGCTTAGTTATAATTGATTTTTGCAAAACTTTAATTTTAATTGAACATACAAATTTCGGCTTCCCGAATGATATACTTTTGAAAGTTATTATTATTATTTGACCCGAATTAGCCAACTTTGTGATTTATTAAATAAATAAACTTGCCCTATTGGTTTTAATTAAAGAAAAGTATATATAAAATAGAGATGTAAGCAGAATCTGGACAATAACTAGATCTAGAAACATCGCACTAAATATTTACGGATCCTTGTGGGACACCTTAAACCATTTAAATAAACTTTAGTCGCAAAAAAGGGACTTTCCCAACATAAAAGAGCTTTCGCCCACGGCGCAGGCGTCATTTCGGCTACCTTATCGCCTTTGACTGCCCTATAAAGAGAGCGTTTTGGTTGCATTTTCGTATATTCCGCGTATTCAACTGGTAGCCACCACATCGGGCAGAGAGCTCTACGTCACAGTGTTATACACACCGCCGAGCGTTTTCGAAGCAGCTGCTGCCGAAAAAAATCAATACTATCTGCAAACTCCTACGTGGACGGTATAAATCAGTTGGAAATGCGCAATATGTTGGCCCGTTCGCAGAGTAAGTGGCGGAAAATGAGCCGACATGTGCATTAGATGGCTAAACCACCTATTTCCAGGTGCACCCTGGCTAGTTGGAGTGCTCCTGCTCCTCTCAAGTGGCTGCCAGAGCCAGTCGTACGGATCCAAGGATATTTTGGCCGATGTTCTGCTGACGGATCTGCTCAATCGAATGGATAACGACATGCAGGTGGGCTACTATGACGTGGAAAATGAGGGAGTCCGAGCACCCAAGGATAACGTGGACCTAGTGTCCCGTTCGGAATATGCCAGCCTGTGCGACGGGGGCAGCGACTGTATCATGCCGTCGGGCGCAGGTTCGAGTCCTTCCCTGCGGGATCACGAGTTCCTGCAGCACAGCTCGCTGTGGGGTCACCAGTTCATCTCCGGCGGCATGGGAGAGGGTCCGAACAGGTACCCCAACATCGTTAAGAACGATGCTGGTCTGCCAGCCTACTGCAACCCGCCGAATCCCTGCCCCGAGGGCTATGATGTGGAGACCCAGGGCGGCAGCTGCATCTCGGACTTTGAGAACACGGCCACCTTCAGTCGGGAATTCCAGGCCGCCCAGGATTGCACCTGCGACAATGAGCATATGTTCGACTGCTCGGATCAGGACAGTGCCGATGCCGGATCGGACAAGGGTGACTTGAACTCGGCCGTGGAGCAGTACATCCTGCAGATGGGCCAGGAGAACAGCCTGAACAACGTCAACAGTCTGGTGAAGAAGGCCGGCTACCCGGCCATGCCCGATCCGCGCATGGATGCCGCTGTCATGAACCCGTTCTTGCAGGGCGACCGACTGCCCATCGCCGCCAAGAAGGGCAACCTGCTCTTCCACTAAGCTTGCTCCGAGTAAACTCGAGCCCACACTTACGACCATTACCTACATCGTTTACCGCATGGGTGTCTACTGCTATTACCTATCATAGTTCGTTATTAATGTTGTCCCGCCACCCCAAAGTCTAGCGATGTTTCTTTCCCAGCAAATAAAGTTATTCATATTAATCCAGGGCTCTAAGCCAAACACAAATATCGGAGACACTTTTCCATTTTCATTTATTTTTGTATCAAAAGTTGTACAAAAGAAATCATTTTTTTTTTTAAAAGAACTGTCGTCGTTATGTGGAATATATCTTTATAAATAGGCCACCTCACTGCTGCACTTTCGAATCAGCTTCCCGTTGAGTATTTTGTGTCAGCATGCACTGGTCGTGTGTCCGGCTGGACGCACACGGGGATTGACTTAAACATAACCTAACAAGTGATATAGTATAGTACATAGTATGAATGTTGATGCCACCGTGGGCACGCACTCGGCCCACGAACATGCACACATCGGCACAGGCAGTGTGATTAGCTAAGCATAATGTTCGTTGTGTCGACAGGCTCCAGCAATGTCCTGAATCTCTCTCGCGTCCCTATAAATATGTACAACACAATCTCCTCCTGACTACAACTCTAGGTGTGGGCTTAGTCTTACGTTTAGGCAGTATATGGAAAGAGGCGGAATTCGTTAACAAAGATCTCTAGCTCTAGCTTAGCATTATGTCTAGGATGTGCGACGGATTACAGGCGTCCCGTGTTGTTGCCCCCGCTGGTGTTCTGGCCCCACGACACCTGGGGATGGGGGTGCGGATTGCGGGTGGTCAGCCGCAAGGAGTTGCCGTCACCATCCTCGTCGATCACGTGCTCGTAGCCCTGATTAATGGTGCCACCTCCATTCGAGCCGTAAATTTGCTGTAATTAAAAAACAAAAAATTAATATATTAAAATATATTAAAGACATAATTTATAGTCTTACCTCGGCAGGACCTCCGTTCACATTGAAGACATCCTTGATGCTGATGCCGGCATTTGAAATTCGCCCACTTCTCTGATTTGGAGGCAGACCTCCATTGTTGTTGATCTGCGGGATAAGCAAAAGGTTATTAGGTCTTGCTTTACTCTTCCTTAGCTAAAGTTTCTATTCCTACCGGCGCCCCAGTGGTAATCCCGTACTCGTTCTTCGCCCCAAGTGTCTGCATGGCGGACTTCCTTCTCTCGGCCATCACCGAGTTCTTGCGCACCTCCAGCGCCCTGATGGTCTCCGCACGCATGGTAAGGCGCCGGGTGAGAATGGGCGTGGCCGGATTGTTCTCTGCATCCGCGGTGAGCTTCAGGAATCTTTTCTTGAAGGCCACGTCCAAGGTGCCGATTTGGCGTCGTGGCTGGCGAGCCTTCTCCAGATTTTGGATGGTCTTTCGCCGGGCTATGCGATCTGGCCCGGATCCCGAATCGTTGTCGTAGTCCCCATCAATGCCCTGTAATCTCTGCAAGTTCTTCACGATCTCCACAGCATGCTAGTTGAACCAAACAAAGAAATGTTTCACTTTTGATTTTTTAAATTACATTGTTGGCAGTACCGACCTTATCTATTAGTTGATCCTGGGTGAGGTCCTCGGATTTCTTCTTGCAGAAGTTCAGTTCAGTGGAGGCCAGGATATGGGAGATTGTACCAAAGCGATGGAACAACATGGCCGTAAACTGAATGATCAAAATCAGTGCGAAGAAGAACACAAACACCAGGCCAATGGGCTCCAGCTGAAGATACTCCTTGGAGATATGTACCTATAGGAAAATCGGATGTATAAGTGGGGGCCCTCGGGAAGTAAAGGTCGGGTTAGTGACATTTGACGTTTTGGTTTTGGGCTCGGATAAATGGCTGATCTCAGCACCAATTGTCGGTGATTGTGGCATGTTGAGGTTGAGGTGTGATACCATTCGGGAGGTTGGTTATATGTCGGGTTTGTTTATATATTTATTGGGACACATTGATACTGTGTTGATGTTGGAGGACCAATGAACATGCTTGCCATGAGTCTGGGCATTATTCAGAAGGGGAGATATATATTTATGGCTTACAGTTAACCGTGTTTCTTGGGGGGCAACTGTTAGAACCGCTTAAATGTCGAGATGTTGTTCTGTTGTTTTTACATGATGTTTTCGTATGATATATATAAGCCTGAACCATTAGGATGGGGTTCAATAAACGGGTAAACAGTAACAGTAACAGAGAACAAAGGACATCATTAGCTGAGTTTGTGATGTGACATGTTGAACGGGTAATAAACATTTAGAGTTTAGAGTGAAACAGAGAGGAGAGGCAGGAAGTTAGGACCCTTCCAGAGGTTTGGGGTAAGACAACAAACACTGAGAGCACAGTTGTACATAGTGGTAGTAAGTGGAACATCGTAAGTAGCTTGATTTATAAACCTCAGATGTCTCTTCGATATAGGTAATGTTCGTTTTGACGCCCAACGGCCAAACGATGTGCAATTTGTCCTTGTTCAGTTGCAACAAGAACACAATCAGCACGAACAAGGCGTTGGCCATGAAAAACGCAAAGACCGACTTGTTACGCAGCTCAATCAGATCGGAGGCAATGCGGGCCTTCGTGTCATGGTTCGGATCGTGGTTGCCAAAGAAAGAAATAAACCAAGAGTTGTGTTAGTTCGATCGGCCAACTTGACAATTACCTCCTGTGTGGACTCGTCGTAGGTGATGTTCGTCCGCACTCCGAACGGCCACTTCACGTGGATGTTGTCCTTGTTCAGCTGCAGCAGGAACACGATCAGCACGAATAGTGCGTTGATCATAAAGAATGCGAACACCGATGAGTCGCGCAGCTCCTTCAGATCTTTTGCTATGCGGGCCTACAAGAGCGTTATCCGATTTCGCGGCGATTTGGGGTTAGAATCGGTTGTGGTTCGAAATGATTTCCCGAGAAAATATACACAGTGAATTTAGAGGCTGGCTTCGGACCGCCGAAGAGATTAGGATAAGAATAAACCTACTATAAGATGCTTTGTGATGTAGTTTCTTAAGAATTTATATATTTAAAATAAAAAAGGCTTGAACTATTTTTAAATCTGATATTTAACCCATTGTCTTTAAGGTCTATAAACTTAAACTTGTTTTGATCAGTTTAGTGACTGACATTTACTTTTCTAAAGGTACAATTGTTTGGCTTGAAGCTCACTTTTGTTAGCTTTTTATGGGACATTAAACTCAAATATACTACAAGAAAAATTATTCCGGTTTTAAAGCCTTGGTTTGAAAAAAAACCGCTTTAAAAAGTAAATCTAATCCAGTTATGGTAAAAAATCGGACTAAATACTTTCAAAATATAAGGGAAAAGCTTTTATCTAGAGAAAGAGAGAGTTCTTAAAGGACATTTTAAATATTTAAAACTAAACAAAGTAACTAAACAACTTCAAAATTTCCTGAAACCAATAATAAATCTTCTCACCTGCTCCACGGGATCATTGTCGATGGGATAGAGGTACTGGTCGATGAGGTCCTTCCAAAACTGGATCTCCGTGCTGGACAGGAAGTCCACCTCGCCCTTGCGCACATCAGGGTCTTCGATCCAGTACGGATTGGTGAGGAAGTCTCGCTCCTGCTTCGGCTCCGCTGAGGTGTCCGAATCCGATACGTCCGTCTCGTCGCCCGACTTCTCCGCCACCGAAGTGAGCAGATGATGATCCTTGGAACCACTGGAGGTGGTTCTCCTGCGGCCATGACGCGAGGCATGATGCCCATGGGGATCCACAGCACTCTCGATGGTGTCCATCCGTTGTTTGATCGTGTCCAGCGATTCGGCGATGGTGGTCAGCTGCTGCTTCTCGTCGGAGGTTTTGCCGTGGGTGCAGAAAATGCAGCGGAATAGACCGGCAAGTGAGAATTCCACGGAGCCCTCCTCGTCGCCATTATCTCCGATTCCGCTCTGCAGGAAGCTGAGCATGCTCTTCTGTTTGACGCGCTTCTTCGCCTCCTCGGCGGCCTTCTTCTCCGCCTCCAGTTCCTTTTTGGTCTTCTTGGCCACCACCTCGCGGGTGCCCCAGGAGACGACGTTCAGGTTGATGATCGAGTACAGGATGAGCAGCAGGTACATGGAGGGTATAGACAGTAGGTAAATCAGGCCGCATGTTATGCACCAGAACTCTTGCGGATGCAAACATGCGGCTATGAAGAATGACCCCACCATGGATATCAGGAAAATGGCCGAGGGAGAGCCAATTCCGTCCTCGCCTAACTGCAGAGCCGTACCCACTATCACGGCCATCATAATCAGGGCGTAGGCCGTGGACAGAACTTGGGCCACAAAAAGTTGGATGTTCGACTTGCAGGTGAAGCAGATAAACATGAAGGCCAGGATAGGTACGATGTTGTAGTGGAAGGAAGTCCAGTTGTCAATGCGGAAGGCAGCCACGAAGGCACCCACCAACATAAGGAAGATGGTGCCTGGTCCCAGGATGGTGCCGCCCATCAACATCATCTGGTAGAAGATGTACAGCAGAGAGATGTTGTCGTTTATCTTGATCGTGCGCTTCGCATCTGCCAGGAGATCCATGATATTGGCTATGGTTGAGGGCACCCATCTCCTCCGCTGGTTGTAGAACTCGTTGAAGCCCTCGGGACAGTGGGTATAGGCATCACTGGCGGCCGAGTACTCCACGCGATAGCCTCTCTGGAGAAGCAGCGTGCAGAGCCAACGGTCCTCGCCCTGATCGTACTGCACGTAGTGACGCGCCTCATCCGACCGGGTGGTGTACTTCTTCATCACATTGTCGTCCATTAGGGCCTTGCCTCTGAACAGGGAGAAGCATCCGGGCGAACAGAGCACACATCCGATCATGTGCTCCGTGGCCTTTTGCAGCCAATGACCAATGGCGTACTCGAACAACTGATACCACACCATGGGACCCGAGCCCACGGGATGGATGCGTCCGCAGGCGGCGCCCAGGTTCTTGTTCTTCTTCATCAGATCCACCAGAAGCGTCACCGCATTTGGCTTGAAGTCAATGTCTCCATCCAGGGTCAGGAGGTAGGTGTTCTCTGCTATCGCATCCTTGCGGTCGACCGAGATGGGCAGCTCCATGAGGCGATGACCCAGGAGATAGTACATGTACATCACCTGCGACCAGCGCTTCCTGTGACGAATGCGATCCTTGTCCTTCAAATGAGTGATGAACTTAGTCTTGCCGGGAAGGGTCCACACCAGACGACCACCGTAGGGAGTGGGGTACTTCTTGGGCGGCCGCAGCCTGATCGTGGTCTGGTGGATCTCCGAGGCTGCTTCGTCCATGGTGGCTATCAGGAGCTTGACGAACCGATTGCACTGGATATCGTCATCGCTGTGATCGGAAATTTCGAAGGCGTCGTCGAAGAAGATGTGAGCTGAAAATGTAAAACTTGGTCAAATTCGCGTTCAGCGGAAGCCTCTTGGGGGAGCTCACTTTCAAATTCATAGTAGTCCGGATCGAGGACACGCAGATACTTCTGCGCCACTCGACGGGCACACTGATCCTCGTCCATTCGCATGATGCTCTTCAAGAACTCAATCATCTCGTCCTTGGTCTCGTGCCACATGGTGGCGCAGGAGTAGATCCTGGTGATATTGTCAGAGGACTTGATAGACGGCTTGTTGGGAGCCGAGGAGCGATCTGTGTGCACCGAGATGGTCTCGTAGTATTCATCGCCCTTTTCCTTCTCGATCTCTGAAAGGTCCTGGAAGCATAGATTCTGTATCAGTACATTGTTTTCCTTAATAAAATAATCCTTACCTCCGTTTTCACATCCGCCTGATCATCCCGCCTTCTGTTAAGGGCCATCGACTGATCGATAAGCAAGGAGGAGTACATGGGCCTCACGAACAGCTTCTCGGTGGTGGCCAAACGCTCGCACTTGGGCGTCCAGATGTGCAGGGCTATCCAGGTCTGACTCAGGAGCCACAGGATCCAGGCCCAGGCCATTTGTTCCGTAACAAAATTGTTAAACCGGAAGTTCGAGGGGCTCGTAAAGAACAGGTAGTCCGGAATGGTGTCGTGGAAGAAGCAGGGATCATCAATCCGGATGCCACAGGCGGCGATGAGGAACGAAACGGATAGGGGTACGGTGAGGCTCACTGGGAAGGCGTAACTGAATCCCTGGATGAGGATCTTGCAGGCGAATTTGCCGAAGATGTAGCACAAGTAGGAGCCAAAGATCTGCAGGAGCAGCACGTATACCACCGTGTTGTAGGCGGCGTCCACATCCACTGTGTCTATATTGGCCGATTCCAAAGTATCGGGCAGAACCCCACCCAGCCCTGCTGGCAGCTCGTAAACGATGATCTTGTGCGGTCCGAAGGCATCTCCGTACATGGAGAACAGATTGCCGGGCTCCTCGCCCTGCGCCCAATAAATCAGCAGAGTGAGGGTGAAGAAGAGCAGGATCTTCCAAATCGAGAGGAAAATGTGGCAGAAGTAGCGGGTGTACTTCATCTCCTCCTTGATGCGTCCCAGAGCTCGCACCAGACCCAGCGGAGACTGGGGGGACACGTAGTTCTCCCACCAGCCGCACGAGATCATCACACAGGCCACGGGAATGACCCAAAGCTCCCGGCGGTTCTCTAGCAGCGGCCAGATCACCAAGCCCGTCACCTGGGCAGCCACCGCCGCCAGATCGATGATCACCTTAACGAACCGCTTGCCCTCCTTTGAAGTGCGTGACAGAAGGCCAAAGATGCCTGGTATCACGCACAGGCAGTTGGTCAACATGGCCCCCTGGATCGCATCGATCTGGGGCAGGACCACGAACATGAGTAGTGCCGTGCCCACGGCGCTCAGACTCTCCATCAGCCAGACGAACAGGAAGTGCCCTGTCTTTGGCACCTTGAAAGTCTTGAAGAAGCAGATACGGGCAGACCGGATTAGGGCTCCGATCTCCGGCAGGGCGTAGGCTATCAGCAGAGCCCAGATCCAGGCCACGCGCTCCTCCTCCGGTAGTCGCACCACAAAGCTCTTGTCGCGACCCTGTTGGGCATACAAAAATAAATTGTATTTTTAGTTAAAATTATTGCTTTGCTATCTGGAGAATTCCTTAGGTAAATACTTTTCTCTGATAATCGATCTTACCAAGTCCTTATTACAGTACTCCATCTTCTTATCCTTGCGCACTTGCGAGGTCATGAAGAGCATTGTGCCCTTGGCTATGACGCCACCGGTTAAAACTATGATAAACGTAAACACATAAGCGAAGATCTTGAGGATTTTGATGGTTAATTCTAGGCACTCCTGGTTCGCCGTCGATCCAGTCTCGATCTTTATTGGCGGATCCCTGAACACATCCCATCCTTTAGTTTCTTGTATGGTGCGTTGGCTGAAAGATATATAAATAGTTTATTTATTAAATGAAGCTTTTACTTGTTATTATTATTTATTGTATATGGTTTTTATTGTATAGTATGAAGTTCAAACTGTGAACTAGCCCCCACAGTAATCCGATATAGCTCAACTCACAGACCAGTGATCTCTGTTCGCTCGACTAGATGATCTTGACTTCCGGCATTTCCGACTCCGCCCTGCCCTGAATTGAAAGTGACTGTGAAGCAATCTCGGCCGAAGCGGGCTTAATTACAGCTGTCTTGACTGAGACAGTTCGGTTCCGGCTGCCGTTCCGCGGTAGTTAGTTAGCCATCATCTAGCCAGCTAGCGATTTGCATAAAATTTTGACGAACCTTTTGGCCAAAGAGCTGGTGGCGCTGGAACCAAGGGTAAGTGGGTGAGAGAGGGTATAGACCTACCTGCCACCGTAGATGTCGTGAGTCAGCGGCGAGCTCTCGTCGTCGGTGAAGTTATTGTCGTCGCTGTCGCCGTGTTCACCGGCGGCCCCTGCTCCGGCTCCGGTCCCCGGCGGGGCCATTGGGCGATGCCGCATCGCAGACATCTCCCACGGTTTGTGCTAGCCCCCAATCTTGGAGCGGAATGCAAATATTCGGCTGCAAAGAGGCAGAGGAGAGGTAAGAGTGTAATTGATGCTGGTTCGGTGATGGTTCGATAAGCCGGTTTTAATGGACACGCAATTTATGGGCATGGAAACGGGCTTCCAAGGACAGGCATCCTTTGACTCCGCCCTCGGACCGGTTTAGGTCGTCCCCAGTTGAACCTTGAGAGTAGCTTTTCATACACGCAGAGAAACAACATTTTATATTACACAAGAAAGGTATCTAACTTCGGGCAGCAATAATTTGTATATCCTTGCAGCTTGCCAGTAAAATCATGTCTTCGAATCAAAAATGGATCATAAATAAGCCAAAAGAGGGATAAATTGTCGAGTTAGTCATTAAAATTACAGAATAAACCACAAATTTCTCTGAACTTAATCTTTTTCCTGCTTATATTCACATCATATAAATAGATTCAACAGAAACTTATTTAGATCTTTTTAAGAAAGCACAATATCATCGTTGTCCAACGTGAGTCATAGTTTGGGCATCTCAGCGGTTAAATTAGCATCATAATTTTTCATCAGCATCACAAGCTTTTCACTTTCACTTGGGAAATTTTCGGCATGGAGTTAGCTTGGAAATTGCTGGAGCCACGTAAGTCGCATGCGCAACTCGAGACTTGGCTTCGGGGCGGAGCACGGACACGCCTCAGTCGTTCCACATGTGGCACGGAACTGAAACCGATGTGGCCGCCGGGGCTTCTTCTGCTTTATGGTAATTAAGTACGATTACTCGTTTGACTTGCAGTTGGAGCTGGCGTTGGAGTTGCAGTTGCCAGCCAGCCCTGCTCGTATTGTTCTGCCAATGAGGGCCTTGTGCCAGATTCCGGTCCGAGTGCAATATTTATGATTATGAGGCAAATTGAAGATGGTATTCCAATCGGAATTGCTGCCGGGCGATGGTAAGAGTTATGGGGTTTTACAAGAAATAATTTGTGTAAGGTACTTTGAAGCAGAGACTTTGGAAAGTCAGTTGTATTCTTTAGCTGAAGAGGCATGATTAGGATTCATCAATACATATTTTCATATAAATACAATAAACTAAAATCTTTTTAAGGTTTTTTAATATGGTCAATAAAACTGCTTATAGATAGTGATGATGTGGAAAAGCCAAGTAGTAAACCCAAGCCATGGAACTTGATTGCTTTTTTAAAAGTTATCCATGTCGTAGAATACGTCGGATGAACTTGACTTTGCCAAAGCACCCGTATCTCCAGGAAAGGTGGTCATAGATTCGTCACTTATGGAGGGTTCAGGTCGGTACTTGGCAATTTCCTGCAGTCTGTAGAGCTTTTCCCGGAGCCTCTTGGTCAGACCCGCAGGTGTTACTATACGGTTACAGATAATGGGCTGAAATCCTCCGCTCTGTCGCTGCCTGGAGGTGCATTCATCCGGATCTGACACTTCTAGCACTTCGCAGCTTTTTGAAATTATCTCCAGGGACTTGCTTTTTCGAGCCTTGCTGAACTTGCCCGATGATTTCATTGCACTCTGTGGTGTAAGATTGGCATAGGGACGAAACCGGCAGTCCCGACTGAGCTGCACTACCAGGCCAGATCTTTCGGTCTCGTAATTTCGGCGCAGCGCCTCCATGTGACGAATCAGCTGCTTGTTCCCAGGCAGAAGGAACCACCGAGAGGTTATCTTGCGCATCCGCTTGGTGATCTCCACCTCGGACATAAAGCACTTGACTAGCCGCTTGATCAATGCATTGAATTGCTGATCACTGAGGGGCTGCGCATCGACCTCCACCAGCCGGAATCGAACGTTGGCCAACTGTTCCGGCCGGATCTGTCCCTTGACCAACAGCGGCGGCAGTTGGAAGCCCCGAGTGCTACTCAATGCAGAGCTGCTCACCTGGGCCACGTTAAACGTTTCTATTTCTGGGCTTTGGGCCACCAATCGAGGTCTCACGGCCTTCCGCATGGTGTATAAGACTTGGTCTTATGGAAATTTGTTGACAATAAACAAAGTGGAATTTTGAAGCCTTTACTGGTGTTGACAGTCTAATCCATTACACTGAGACGATACATATGTATGAGCAGCTGATATAGAACATGTGGAATTTAAAATTGGAAATGAAGAAAACCCCAATCCTAGGGGGGATTTAAAAAGGTCTTTCTAGTTTCTATTTAGAGGAAATAAGAAAGATTTAATAATTTTAAAGGAGTGACTATTAAAATATAAAGCTTATAAAATAAAATTTGATTTGAGATTTATGAAGTGTTTAAAATTAATGCTAATCTTGGTCCCTTTGAACAAACTGTCTAAATTTTAAAGAATTTAAAAGTACAGCAAGAGAAAGCTTGGATAGGGAAAAGAGAATAATAAGTCTAGTGAAAGCTCACAGATTTGCATCCAACGAAGCAGCTGGGTAACAGCTGACTCATCCAAAGGATGCTGTGGGTTGAATATGACCTCCTTGTGTAGGATTCTGCGCACAAGACGGATTGGATACACCACCCCAAGTGGACAACGACTCCCACACATTCCCCCACACCCCAGAAAGCGACGCACAATTTTAGAGCTTAATGGAGGGTAAGGGTGGCTTTTAAGCACACATTTTCAGAGGTGTGGCAGGATGCTTTTGTGGCGGCCTGGCCTTGGAGTGGGCCTGTTTCGGGCTTTATGGGGCAGGAACGAAAGTGACGTTTCAACCAGACCGTGTGGCCTAAAGGATAAGGCGTCGGACTTCGAATCCGAAGATTGCAGGTTCGAGTCCTGTCACGGTCGTTTCTACTTGCATTCAAGCATTTCTTTTTTTCACTCAAAGTTTCCTTGGCTATTTTACACTTTTTTTCTGCTTGTTTATGCCTGATTATGTCGTTGAAATTGATTTAATAACCACTTTAGCATATATTATCTTCTCGTTAAGTCATCTCCCCTCTTGTTTCTCAAGCCCCAATGGAAACCAGTTTGGTCTTTGCCTCTTTGGCAACTCAAAATGCGAAATCAATTTGATATGGGAAATACATGCAATTGAGCAACCATCGGACAGAAGACGGCACAAAGCGATTAACTTGGCCACTGCCATTGAATGTCCCACAGAAATCTTGACTTCTCGGGGCTCTTTTAAATGTCAAATGTCCCCTAGAATGGTTCTCAAGCACCAGTTGAACTTGGACTAGTGCTAAATGCGCCTTAATATTTGTGATAAAATTATACTTAAAAAAACAGTAGCTTTTAGATAAATTGAGATTTTTCAAGTCCCTAAATTAATGTGTTAATGATTTTGTTTGGTATATCTGAACTGATTAATTGGGTTTGCAAGATAAATTGGTCGATTAAACTGGAACCATTTAGTTAAACATATAGTAGAAACCAGAATATTGTGTAAAATTTACTCATCAAAAATATCTCAAAGAACTACAATATAAGAGCAGGAAAATGCAGTCTGAAGTCTAGAGCCTACCAGTTTCCGAAGGAACTTTGTAAATCCCCGGTCAGTTGAACTCGGTTAACCCTAGCCAGCCTCAACATTGGAGTACTTTTACCCACACAAAGAACGTGTTCGCCATACCAAATATGACCTAAGTGGAAGAAAATTCGAGTCTTCGAAAAATAAAAGACAGAAAACAAATTAAGCATTCATGTCGACGCGTTCAATCAACGCCGAGGGGCCAGAAAGATCGAGCCCGAAAAGGATTACGACTCTGCAATTGACTTGGCGGAGTCGGAGAAACGAGCATATTCTTATATATATTCTGTTATAGATCTCCGATAGCCAACCGGTTGGACAGGAAGGCAAACTGGAGCGGGCGGGCTGGAGGCCTTGCTGGAGCGGCATGTGGAGCCGAGCTCTTTTGTGCTGCCCACAAACAGACAATGGGGCACAACACAGCTGCAGGCGTTGGGCGATTTAATAATTTTTGTCTGTTGTAATAATCACATTAGCGCCTGGCGAGGAAAGCGGAGGCGGGTGGAGGAATAGAGCCGAAGTGAACGGCTATTGGAACGGAGCATAATGGACAAAAATGCTGCACTAAACTAAAGATACAGGGACAAATAATATCTAAAAACTTAGTCAGGAATAGAAGTCATCAGTTTAGTCGTAAAAGTATTTATCCTAGACATTTCTTGTTTCCTTTTGACACTGAATGTTTCTTGGATTTAATAGAAATAACTAAAAGGTCCTAAATTCGAGCTAATTAATTATCTGTATATATAGTTTTGTATTTCTTTCTGTGTATTTTCAAACTTATGTATCCGACTGATTGTTTGGGTTTAGGGGCTAAGACACTACCGCCAAAGAAGGCAAACAATTAAAACCTGCGCTCCACCGACCGCCAACCAGAAAGACAGGCAGGAAAAAAAGTGAAAGTCAGATACTTGTAAAATAAATGTTATAGAAATAAGCGAACACAATCTATGCGATGCCGATACAGACACACAGATACAACTTGGAGCTGCAGCAGTTGTTGCTGCTTGGGCTGGCGCATAAATTGATTGCTACACTTAACTTGAGCCAACTAGTCAAAACGGGAACGCGGCAATCGAACCGGCCACGCCGACCAGCTGCCGACTGAACGTTGGATTGCCGATTGCCGGACAACCAGTTTTCGGCGGACTACAGGAAAACCAATCGAGCTGCGGCCAAGAAATATGCGCGGATAGGAGTAAAGTCGCAGGCATTAAGTGAAAAATTGCAGGCGAACCAAGCCGGAACGATCTGTGAGTACTACTACAATGGTGACATGGCCGAGATGGGGCAAGTTTTGGCTTGGAGGTCCGCGGGGAACACAAGCGGACGCGGACATCCATGGGTGTGGGTTCAATGTGCACTGGTCAGCTAACTGGGATTGGCCATTTAAGCGCTTGATTTATGCTTGCCACAGCGGAGAGCTACAATTGCTTGAAGGTTGCCTGCAATCCGATTGCAGGAATACCAGTATCATATCGAGTTGCGTGATTCATGTCCATCGATCTACGACACTACATGTGGAAGCTGCGCCCAACTCTAAGCTATGGCTGTTTTAAGTTGTGAAGCTTGGAAGAGCTTGCATCATCCATCAAAATGTACAGATAGGTCTTGATATAGAAACCAAAATATAATTAACATGAAACTGATAATTTATACGGATAATTTTTACAAGCCGCAGTAAACGGGAAAATATTTTTGCAGGAGAAAATCTAGGACTTGAATAAGTTAACATGTATTAATCAATCAAATAAATCCGAAGGATATATTTTCAATTTAAATTTGACCTAAAAAAATGTGAAAAATCTTTCCCAGATTTATTAATTATATATGTATCTTTGTACAAACATTCAAAGTCCCTCGCTTGTCAGCGGGAAACAATAACCTCATTTTGCTTCCTTTTGAAATATAAAGAGGCTCCTTAACTTGATGCCAACTCATTTTTTTTAAGTTCTTGCACCTTTATATTTAATTTTTGTTTGCCTGTAAACCGTTTTACCGTTGTGTGCTTGTGCCTGCAAATATATATAAACCTTTTTGGGCCGAAAGTGCAACCAAATCGAGTGACTCACAACATTTTTTTGTAAATTGGCGACTATACCAATTAAAAGGCATTCAATTGCAAAAAATTTGATTGTTTTCGAGTGGTTTCATGAATTATGCGGCTATAAGAGACAACCATCAATAGTTAAAATTGAATCGAAGCAGTTTGATTATACAAAATGAGTCACAGTCAAGCTTAATGTTTGGTTTTTACGTAATGCGTAAGGTGAATCGGAACTGACACTTTATTTTCTGTGTTATTCCGTTTCTTCTTTGGTTTGAGATCTGAGAATGATTTGTCTTTTGTTGGGGTTTTAATTTGGGCTTTCATTGATGACTGTATACCGGTTACCGAAGGACTTATCCAACCACCGATGAGTTGTCATATTTAATGACTTAGCATACATAGTTACTGAAAGCCAGGGAAGCGGTGGAGGAGCCGGTTTTAATTTAAAATTTTTAAGATGCTAAGGAAAGCAATATAGTTGTATTGTATTTACGTTAATTTTATGCCTCAAACAACAGTTAGGAGGCACTTCATATTTGGAGAGAAAACAAATAAAGACTGACTATTTGCAGAGGTTTGTTGTTTGGCTGTGAGCCACTCAAAATTGTGAGCAAAATTTAAATGAGTGAAGCGAACAGCTGAAGAATCGGAGAGAAGCGAGGCCTCGAGACGGAGGGGTTTGGTTAAAAACCTCGGACTGAGGCTGAATCTTGCCATGGAGGCGTCTGAGCGAATCTGATTGAAAATGCCAAGCGGATGACTGGTTGGCTCGGGTAAAATGAAGATGATCCAGGTGAAAATCACCGCCAGGTGACATTTGGCAATGGAACGGTTCCCTGAGAAAGCTTCCCGATAAAAAAGAAACCCCACTCAGCACTCAGCGTGTGCTAGATGCCAAGAAAATCTTGAGACTCGGCTCGCGGGTCGCTAATTTAATTTTATAATTTATAGAACAAGTTGCTTGGTTTTTGGGTGTGTTGATATATTTCGCCGAACGGGTTTGTGCTCCGCAAACAACGCAAATTGTTTTCAGCTCCGAAATGCTAAATAGCCAGCTTCGCTGCAGCTTATTCAGGGTAACATTGTGGAATAGTAAAAGCAAAAGTGTTGCCAACGAACCAGCCGAAAACCCGTTAGCAGCAGAAGTGGCTCGAAAGAAAAGCAAGAAGCTGCTGCTGCTGCCAACGAAATAGAAAGAGATCCGTCGTAACTTTCACATGCAGATGTATGGCAAGAAAATTGTACCGTTCGTTAGAGCTGACGATCGGATGACGGCGATGAAATGGCACAAAAGAAAAGGCCAACGAATCAGCGCGATTGTCTCTCACAGATAGCGAGAGTGAGAGACCTGGCCCAGGTGAATGTTGCTCCGGTTAAGCTGGCTATAAAAAGAACATAGGAATTCCAAACCGAGACACTTTTCACTGCTTTTGGCCAGCGATTCTGCATAATTTGGCCAGCTGGAAGCTTCTCTCTCCTTTTCTTATTTTCGCCTGCGTGGCCCACTGATTTTCAAATTGAATTTCGTGCGAGTATTTTGTATTTGATTTCTTTTCATTAATTTTTTTTCTCTTTGGCTGGTAAAATGGTTGTTGCTGTTGCACTAAACTTTTGGCCGCACACACTGGCACTCGCCCACAGATACAGACACACACGCATGCGCGCACGTACCGTTTTGTAAGACGTTTCTCTCTCCGCCTCGTATCTTTCGCTGTTGTCCGCGGTAGCTCTTTTCGAGTTCGTTGTCTTCGCCAAACTGAATTGAAGTCTTTCGTTTTTGCCCATTGGAAGTGGCCCGCTGCCAGCTGTGGCGCGGCTGCGCTGTCGCTGGAAGTGAATTTTTATGAGCGCAAAAGCTTGTTTTTGTTGTTTATATTTTTTACTTGGACCGCTACTGCCTGTTTCTTACTTGTTTCTGAAGTGGTGAGTGGTAACGGTTAACAAAGCTGGTAGCGGGTCCTCATAATAATTGCGCATTGGCTAAGACAATAAGGCTTGACATCCTGGGACCCTTAAATCTGTAAAAGTTGTTAATAAATATTTTTCTTTTATGAAAAAATAAGCAACAAATTGAACACGAACAATTATTTTAATTAATTTGTGGATCCTTTCTATTCAATAAAAGTGAAAGATAAGTCAGTTTTCTACACTTATCTATCAATTAGCTTATATTATCGATCTGTCCCCCTTTTCCTCCTGTTGATCCACTCCTTTCCTCACTGCATATCTCTTCGACTTTAATTTGCATGCTTTTATTTCTCTTGTTTTTGCGACAGCTTTGGTCGAGGTCGTCTGGTTTTTTGCTCGTTATTTTTTTTCTCTTCTGCTGCTTTCTGTTGCCGTCTTTGGGTGCTGCTCCAATATTCCGATCGCAGAGCGGGAGAGCCTGAAGAGCACAAGAAAGAGAGCTCTGCAACTGGAAAGGTTTCAGCAATGTGCGGTTAATGTAATTGGAAAGTAATAATAGTAATACGAAGAATATGAAGTATATTTTTTATTTTATGTTTAACTAATTTAGCCATTCTTATTAGATTCTGGCCAGGATCATATCGTTTCGGTGACAAGGGCCGATCCTTCGACAACAACTTGTCCCAATAGCTAATTTATTTTATTTATTTATTCATATTTACATTTACTGCGACATGACTGAAACTTATATTTATTGCAAAAGTGAAAATGGATATGTTTTTTATTCGTATTATTTAAATATATTATATAATTTAAAATACAAATAGAAAATATTTATTTGTTTTTAAATTATAAATATTTTAAAATAAATTTATCTGTTTAATAAGTCCGCAAACTTTTCTTACATGCTTTCCATGTCCTTTATGTACTCTTTCAGAAATTAAACTTGCAGAAAATTATATTAATTGATTTTATTACATTCCAAATATATGTATTATTTTACAAAACATTTATAATAATAATTACAAAAAAAATTTAAATTTAAATTAAGTGTTTTGTGTTATCGACATCAGCCGATTAGTCGATTTTTATAATCATACATTTTATCAGTGTGCCCGTAACCGTAAGATACCGACTTCGAATATGTCAAATTCACTAAAATCCAAACTTAATTTATTTTATACGGGAGCATTTTGTAACTTTAACGTCAGGATTTGTTTAATAAACAACTAATATGAATAATTTTCCACCGTCAAGCTGTTTTTAGTATTTTACATCTGCAGCATAATTTAGTACATTCCCGCGAGCCCCAGTGTCCTTCTTTGGCGCTCCGGCGGCGGTCACACTGGTCGAGAATCGGGCAAATAATAAAATAAAAGGCACCGAGCAACAATAATAAAAATAAAGGCAGGCGATTCGATAACCGAGCACGAAAACAAGGGGCACATAGTATAAACAGCCACCAGATTCGAGTACACGTCGGTGGCGAGCAGGCAAACAAGGCGGCTGTGCGGGGAGGTGCGGATGTGAGTTTCCCACTCGGTGTCCCCGACTTTCCGACTTTACGGAGCGGAACTGGCACGTCGTACCAGTGTACCTACGTGACAAGCAACTTACATATATATTTATATATATATATACAGTACTATATATCGCTTCATCCAGATCCAGATCCTTCAATCCGGAGCGGAGCTGTGCTGTGCTGTGTGTGCTTGTGTGTCGCCGTAGGCGTGCTTCTGCAGCTGAATCTGCACCTGTGTCCGTCACAATGGGCGCCTGTGTGTGTCGCATGAACCCCGACAACGAGACGATGAGCGTCTCCTCGGCGAGTATCTCGCGTCCGGCTAGTGCAGGTGAGTGGCCTTCGCGCGCATCATCGGCCTCGGCCTCAGCGTCTATATCAGTCATTAATCTCATCTTCCCGCCGACAGGCATTGCCATGGGCGCGGCACGCAAGAACCGCCCGCTCTGCCACGAGACCATCCGCTGGCGCTCCGACGTCCCGCTGACCGAGGGCCAGCTGCGGTCCAAGCGGGACGAGTTCTGGGACACCGCGCCTGCCTTCGATGGACGCAAGGAGATCTGGGATGCATTGCGGGCGGCCACCAATGCGGCCGAGGGCCTCGACTTCCAGATGGCCCAGGCCATCCTCGACGGGGCCAATATCTCTGTGCCGAACGGGTAAGTTGGCTCAACCACCCAAAATCCGTGGCATTCCGGTGTCCCTAATGACACGGCATGCTAATTGCCATCGTCTGCTCGGGGTCCGGGCGAGAAAATCAATAATGTATATAGTTTTCGTATGGCCATAACTCCATTAATGCATGACAGCGATTTGCCTGTGTCCTTTGCCGGACCGCGAAGGGGTATCATAAATTTGTGATGAGCGCCGCCATGGGAGTCGGAATTGTGAAAGAAATCGCGCTACTGGACACTCGTTAGTCCAAATGAGAATCCACTGCCCATCGGGTTTATTTACGTTCAGAGAATTGTAGTTTATAAATATTATTTTTATTTGCAAATGTTCTTGATTAATGATTGATTTCCCAACTTCAACTGCAGAAAAATTACAGAATTGAAAGTATAGATTTACAACCTACTTCCCGGTTAGGGTATTTGATACGCCGACTTCACCTTGAAACTTTGTGCTAACGTTTTTATTAGACATTCGACATCGATTTTCAACTGACACTCTCGCTAAACGAGGACTGTGAACTATATTTATTTAAATGCAGCGCTGACCTTTCCACCACTTTCCGCATGTTGCATGTCCGTGTCCTTGCCAACTGCCTTGCTACTCCGGACGTAATATCGGCGTTATCAGGCCTTTATCAGACCCTAGCAGCCTACCCCACTTGGCATTGGATCATTAGCATTAGGCTCAATGGGTTGACTAATGGACTTTTCGGGGTGGCTGGGATTTGTGATAAGATAGTGATAGGGAGCGGATGGCACACCCGGTTACCGACTCTATTTGTTATTTTCACAGCTACCTAACAGAGTGCTACGATGAGCTGGGCACACAGTACAAGGTGCCCATTTACTGTCTGTCATATCCCATCAATATCGTTAAGGAGGAGAACGGACGCGACTCCCCTGCCGAATACTCTGAGCCAGTGGATGGCGGCACTGAGATATTCCTGAAGCTGCGCATATCATCGACCATGACTGATGTTAAACTGCCGGTGTACTCCAAGGATACGGTGGGTCAGTGCAAGAAGAAGCTTCAGGTGAGTTCAGAATCCACAATTGAGGTATTAAGCTTGTTGTTTAACTTTGCGGAGTACTTATATCGTTGTTTTGTCATCTTACAGGCCGCAGAGAATGTAGACGCCTGCTGCCAGAGATGGTTCTACAGCGGCAAGCTACTGGGTGACAAGGTGCCCATCGACGAGTGCAGCATACACCAGGGATATGTGGTGCAGGTGATTGTGAACACCGAGCACTACAACCACGACAACAGCACGAGTACGGCGCACGCGCTTGCAAGCTAGCGGCGCAGGCAGCTCCAACTAGTCAACAGCAGCGGCAGGAACAGCAAAAAGCCACGACAGCAGCAACAACAACAACAATGGGCCAAAGCGAACAGAGGCATTTCGGCGAGGAGGAATGCCATATACTCAGTTCACAGCACAAGGAACCTTAGGGGGAATGTACAGCACAAGCGGGAGCAACAGCAACAGTATACTCATTGCATTTATCAAAATAAGCAACAATTGCAAATTGTTGTTCTGTCTGCCTTGTTGTTGTTGCTGTTGTTGTGGCTGCTCGCCTTGTTATGCTTTGTGTAATATATACCTATATATAAACGAAATTAAACAAAAGATGGAAAGTTGCTGAGTAAGAGGGAAATCGGAATGGGAAATGATTATAAGATACATAAATTATAAACCTAAATATATTTTTTTGATAATAATTCAAAAGATTTAAGAAGTCTACAAAACATATACTTCAAACATATATGAGATCAGCAGACAACCGCAATCTGCTCGGGGAAAATCCCCGATTGAAAACCCAAAAGAAATATGTACATTTTTATAAAGAGCGAAATGAAGGGCAAATCTATTAACTAATTGTAAGCAAGTGTTAAAGCATTTGCCTAATGCTAAGATGTAATGTAAAAATAAACAAGAACTGTAGTATTCGGCCGCAATAGAAAGCATGTAACAAACCATTTTTGATACTGTACAAAATGCCAAGCACAATAATTGTGAGAGAATCCAGAGAATACACAAATTGTTAAGCAAACCACTTGCTCAAACGTAGTTAACAAGATCGCGAGGCGGGGCGATGGCGAGGTAGGGAGTTGAGGAAGAGTTAACCCAAGTACCTTATACATGTATATCATTTAATTTGCTTTTAGTGTTAATCATGCAATCGAGTGGAATCAATGAATATTTATTTATCTGTCAAGCACATGAATTTAAGGAAAAGTTTTAATTTAATTCAAAAATTACACGTATAGAACGAGATTAGAAGTCGGTTTTTTTCATTAGCTAATACATTTGTATTTGTTTTTAAATCGTGTTAAGTGCATTACACCATTGGGCATATTTATCGGCGCAATATCAGTCAGGCCCGTAATTATGTCAACAAAAGATAAGCAACTTAAAGTCGTTTTGTGTATGTCTGAATTAATGGCAAAAAATAATGAATTTAAGCACGTTTTTTAGTTCCGAATTTTCCTTATTATTTAAATAAATTTGTTTAATTTTGAAGCTTGCTGACATTTAACTAACAAATCAGTCAATTCGATGAGTTTAACGCTAATTCATTTAGATCAGAATGCACAAAGATTCATTCGTTTTGATGCGCCATTTGCAATAGTTTTGTAATTCACTTCAGAAGCAGAGTGTAATGGCCAAAGTTGAAGCAATTATTAAAAAAAAATCAAAAGAAATAAAAAAGAATTGGGCATAAATGCGGTGCCTATTCAAGTGTTTTTGATCTTTTATTTAAATGCTAATTTTTCTATTATAAATTATTATAAATAAATAAAAACACAAAGCCAATTCGGCCATCTAACCTCGAGCGTCCATTTTTTGCAACAAGGTGAGAAAGGAGAAGGCAGTTGTGATAGTCTGCAATTATGAAAATAAGAGTAGAATAATTAGTTCAAAATTTTACTCAATTTTACTCACCCCCCGGAACCGTTCCACATTCAAGTTGGTTATTTTCCCAGCAGTCAACTGGAACTGCCTCCGTGAGTTTAGCGTAAAAAAGAGGAAATCGCTCCGGACCTCCTTCAGATGCCGCTGCCAGGGACTTCGCCACAGGGCCTCGCCACATCGCTGGCTGTTTTGGTACACAATGTCGGCGAAATAGCAAATAATAAATAGTTCATACAGCACCAGCAGCAAATACTGGCCCAAAGACACCATTCGCATGAACGAGTTGGCAGTGGTACTTTTTGTCGAAACGAAAGCCACGAGGCACATGAGAAAGGTTACCTCTCCGATCTTCACAAACCAAATTGGACTGTAAAAGCGCTCCATTTGTTTCAAGGCGGCCACTATATAACGATGGTGCTGAACGCAGTGCACAAAGGACTGGCGAAAGGCCTTCCGAAAATCGCCAGGGTATCCCGTTTGAGGTGTGTGGTGGAGCAGGTCCTGCAGAGGTGTCTGCTCCTCCAAGGAGTAAGCATATTGACTGGGTTCCTCATCGGACACAGACTGCTCAGCCTGTAGTGTCCTGTGTTGAACAATTTAAAATCATATTCTTTATTTTTTTATATTAAGTCAGATTTTCAGGATTTGTAACTAACCTCAGTTCGGCCATATTAGCTCCCATTAGTACGTAAGTAGTGGCCAATACATTTTTCAGACTGCAAAAGAGAACGTCGTATTGCCCCGATATTAGGACACACAGCACCATATGAAGGCCACTTGAGGAGGCAAAAGAAGCCGCCACCTGGATCTGACCCATTGCCTGCAAGAAGAACACAACCTCATAAACAATGGGTTGCTATAAAAAATACTCTCTTACGTTTGGAAACTCCATAAATATGAGATAACTCAAACTTACCGTGTAATCAAAGGGATACCAACAGGCCAGCGGCAAGCTCTTGTCCCTATAAACAATGGGAAGAGCCAGCCAGAAGATGGTTCCTATATAGCAGCAGTACACATAGGTCTTGATCCACAGCTTGGATATCCGATATGCCTCCGCCATGGTCACATAGCTGAATCCGACAGCGGAGCGCGGCTCATACTTGTCATTAATCGAGGCCAAGATGTCGTCCAACAACCTGGGCCTGAGCCTTCGAAAGTACAGCTTCATGGCAATGGTCCAGATATAGATGATCGTCTGTATCAGGCAGTTTACGAAGAAGTCCAAGTCCCCTTGTCCATAGTTTATATAGATGGTGCAGATGAACAATCCAGCTATATGCACTGAAACAAAGTAGTTGAAGAGTTCGTAGAGCACATCCAGGACTCGGACCACATAAGCCAGAAAGCCAGAGCCTTTGAGGTAATAGCCAAAAGGATACATGGCGGCAATGCACATTGTCTGGCGAACAAACACAAACAGATCCCGACGCTTAGCTTTGTCTTTATCCTTATTTTCCATGTTATTGCTATAAGTCGTGAGTCAGTTAACTGTTTGGTTCAGACCCTTAAGGCTTAACCCTTTTTATAAAGACAGCTCTAGCTATATTCATGTCTACATTTGAACAAATTATAGATTTGGTCACAACTAAATAAACTTTAAATTATATGCTTATGGTAGCATCCTTTGACAAACTTTTCCCTCAATTGCCTGAAAAAAAATATTATTTTAATATTTAATAAGTAGAATGATTCGTATTTTTGTTTTATTTCTTTGGAAAGTTTGAAAACCTTGCCATTAATAACTCGATTAATGAATAATAAAGAGCTCACAGTTAAAAGTTTAAAGCACTTATACTAGTTTTTTCTTCACTACGAAAAACTAAAATATTTAAACATGTAATTTCCCTTTTAATAACGTTAAGTAAAGTTTTTTATAGGTCGGGTAGGCTAAGAAGGTTAAGAGTTAAGCTGAAGGTTAAGAAATGGGTACCCAATTTAAGAAGAAATTGTAAACCCAAAGAAGAGTAGAATCGTAAGTGTCAAGGGAACATTGAAAACTTAACACAATAACAATACAAAGTCCCTGAAGCTAGGTCTACGTTTTGTTTTTTGGACCCATTTTTAGGTGACTACTACTACTTAGTAACGTTTCAATTTCAACAAAAGTGTGTTAACCTGATTACTTCGTTCACTTTGGCCACAAGACTTTTACTTTGCTGTTGGTCAATAGCAAAACAGCAAGGCACTGCTGGCTCTGAGAAGTTTGGCAACTGGGCCTTACCAATCATAACGCCACTTGACCGTCCAGCCATTCAGACGAATTCCTTACAATACCTCAGCAAGCCGGGCCATCAATTCCAAATAAACCCTGCAGCCGAGAACGGAAAAAGCGCTTTACATTGAAAGCCAGTTGACCATGTCCGAAGAGTCGTGACTGCGATATGTTGCCAGCACTTGATTTCGTACGCCGAAATGCGCACACAACAATGCGAACGGAACCAATATGTCGGAGAAATAAGTCAGCCGGGAGAACTCCGCCCTGCCTCCCTAGGAGGACTCGCCCTCGCCCGAAATGCGACAAGTTTCCGTTTCCTCCGTGGATGTGCATGTTGCACATAGTGGCGACATGCGACGAGTGAAATGTGTTCAAGCCATTGTGGGTGGTGGGTGGCAATACTTTATACGGTATATGTAAGGGCTTTGTGGCAGATGCAATCAAGCATCGGCCAGTCAGTGAGTGCATCGGTCCCTCATCCCTTATTCCCTGGTCATTATTTTAATGGGGCGTTCGTGGAGGAATGCCTTTAGTCTCCGGCGTCCATTCCACACCCACTTCATGTTGCTTGTTGGACATTTTCCTCTGATTAATTTATTCCTTAATTTTCTGGAGCTTCGTAGTTATTTGTAAAATAATAAACAATAAAGGGTAGAGGAAGGGAGAAACTAGACTTAAAGCTTAACGCCAGAATATTGAATATATTCTTAGTAATTGAATGCCTTCGATAATTTTGATAGTTTTTGAATCATTTGAATATTTCAAACAAGTAACTAGTAAGACAACGATTTTATTTATTTATTCATTCCTTAATATGCTGATTTTTCTTTATTATTGTAATTACTGCAATGTACTGATGAGGCATATAGAGATTAACAATGGATTCTGGCGAAAAAAATGAAGCAATTAAGCAAGAGTCATGCACATGTGCTGGGACTTATCAAATGAGCGGCTAATATACACGGTTAGACAAGCCTGGATGTGGGGGACATGAGATACGGAATACTGATCCGTTCCTAGTCGATGTTCAGCTGACGGAACGTGCCCTCCATGCCGAACAGATCGTCGCTGGTCTTCACACCGCCGGGGCGCAGGGACTCGTTGGCCTTCTTGTCCTCCTGCTCCTTGAACCACTTGGTGTTGTCGGCCAGCTTCTGCTTCCACCACTGGTTCAGCTCCACAATGCCACCGGCCTTGCCGCCATACTCGTTGGGCAGAAGGTCACGCGGCACCACCTTGTAGAGACTCTCCACGTCGTTGTGGAAGGTGATGCGACTGCGGATCTTCTCCTTAACGAACGGCTTCACAAAGTTGAAGATGGTGTCCACCAGCGGCGAGATGTTGATCACATGCACCTCCTTCACCTTCACCGGATACGCCTCCTGCACGGCAATCAGAAACTTCTTCACCACGGTCGGTGAGAATTTGGCAAAGTGGGAGGCACTGGCCACCGCTGCGTCCAGAATGAAGATGTCGCCGGCAATGCCCACGCTCTCCTCAGCCAGGCGAACGTCGCCGATCATCAGAGCCACTTTCATGGCGTCCAGAATGTGGTGCGGCTGGAAGTCGCAGTCGATGCCCCGGATGAACGTGATGCGGCGGCCATTGGGAGTAATGCCCGGCAGAGTGGGGCAGTGCCTGCAAAGGGAAGATATTAAAGTATTCTGCTAGAAATTATTTAAAATGAATGATTTACTTACACATAATCCAGCACGATGTTGAGCTCCTCGCGATTAATATCCCGGTTGGAGAAGAACTCCGGAACGGCGTTGCGCATGGTGTAGTACATGTCCAACTTCTTCTTGACCTTCTCCAGGCTGAACTTGCAGCCGCGCAGGAAGGTCGTGAGGCGCATATCGTCCATGTCCTTGGGAAGGTGCGGCTGCGTCTCCAGCCACTCGCGAATCAGCTTGATGTCGCGCTCAATGTCTGCGGGATCCTCAGGCTCGCGGAGCTCCTCGCGGATGCTCACGCGCTGATCGGGTGTGGGGTGTAGCATCATCATCTGGGGACAGATTGAAAGATTATTTTTTAGGTGAATAAATATTCAAATACTAAATAAGATTGCTTAAACTGATATTAATTGAGATTTCGTTTGAAATTCTTTCAAGAAAACTCCCATAACTAAATACATTTCTTTTAGAATCTATTATAAATACAATAAATAACTAATTATATTGTTCCCTGCTTACTAAGTTTGACCTTACTATTAAAAGTTACCCCCCTGCCTTGAGATAAATTACAAAGATGGGGTCTCCGAATGAAACAATAAAATGACAACCCCTCATATTCTTCGCTGGCTATTTCGCCACACTTTTTAATACGTAATACAAAATAATCAGATATTTTTGACATTTTAATTGCGCGCTTTCAAAATGCTCGTCGCTCGGAGGTCTTGCGGTCACACGTCACTGCCTCGATTCATAAGCATGGGCTGTGGCCAAATATGCATTACTCCAAGTGCTGCCCCCTCCCGGAACAGGTGTACTTGGGGCTGCTCACTTTGCGTAAGGGCCAAAGCAAAATCGACCCCAAAAACAGTGTTCAGGGCCCTTCTGCCTTTTAGTTTCGATTTGGTTCAGTGAATTTCGATGTAAGGCCTTAAAGGTAACCATATAGATTTGTAAATAATTATAATGTTAGCTCGTGCAAATGAAGAAAAGTGGCTTAGAGATAGCCATGCCGGGCAGTTAGTACAGTAAATGGCAACAGTATATCTTGGCTCAAACGGTTAGCCGCTTTGTTTGCGCTCTTTGCTCCGTACTTTTAGCTTGTTTATAACTTTTATTTTGTTTACTTTTGACTTTGACACTTCTTTTAAAATGATGCATAAATTGTCTTTCGCTCTGGCATGAGGTAATTGACAATTCCACTGGCTGGCTGGGGCTGGCAGATAATGGAAGATCTGGTAATTTGTGTTAAACTTTGACCGATAGTTTAGTCAGCATTTGGTTTGGCAATTCCGTAGCGCAGACGAAGAAAAATATACGGCACAAATGGGCCATATTTAATCAAATTTGCAACACCTGAGACGCAGAGCTCATTGGGGTCAGCCAGCCAGAGCTGGTAAGAGGAAAAGCTCTCGAAATGAGCCGCAGTCTGGGAGGGAATTTGAGCAGAGCAACTTGAAAAGGCAAAAATGTATATGCTGCACAAAAGAAAAAGGTTGAAAAAGGTCTACATTTATATTTTATATTATATTTTATTAACTAAACCCATATAATAATGGTATTAAACTGCCTAATAATATAGGTTTAGGATAGTATTTAATGAGCTTGAGGAAAGAAGGGAACTTCTAAGTGAATTTCTATAAAACAAATACATTATTTTTAACTTTATTTGCATTTTATCTAGCTTTAAAAAGAATTTTAAATAATTCTAAACCTAATCTAAATGTTATCTAGCTTCCAAAACAATCATTTTTTTAAAGAATGAAATAGTATAATTTCCTCTGTGTAAGACATAGCCACAACCGGCTGCAATGCAACTAGTGTTGCTGTTGCTGTTGCAAGTGGCAGTTGCAACTTGCAACCTGTTAGAATTGCAATTACCACCGGCAGACCGGAGGAGGCTCGGCCACACTCAAATTGCTCTGTGTGCACACACTCGCATGGTTTTTGTTGGTCCGCTAATGGTCGTCTGGTTGCGTCTATTGCAAATTTTCCTTCTGGCAGCCAAGTCAATTGCAAATATTGCGAAAATCTTCAGCAAAACAAAACAGCGGGCAAAACACAACGAAACGAAAATCAGAAAATCGGGCGGACAAGAGTCAAGAAAAATGGTCAGAAAACGGGTTTTATTAACTTATTTTTCTTCTTTTTTTTGGCATTTCGGGTCCAGGTAAAGTGCTTTCGGTTTCCGTCTCTTTCAGCTTTTGTCTTCTGCTTCTATATCTGTCTCTATCCCTAGTCGCTCTATGTCGTTACAATAATTCTGTGTGGTTATTTGTTTTGTAATGTCATTATTTGTAAGAATTTCGAAAACGCTGTGGCGGGTAGCATTTAAGTGGTTTAGGAATGGTCAGTCAACAAGATACCTTCCAAGATAAAAGATGAGGACTTGAGCCCTAAATTTGTCATGCTAAATGCTCTTTAGGTCTTCTGAATTTTATAAGTTGTAAGCTAAATAGCATATGAACTTAATGGCAGTAAGATCTACGCAGTACTTTAAGGCTTTGTGATGATGAAAGACCTTTGGGCCTACTTTGCTTTGACCAGATCAGATCAGATCTTCAATTCAATGAACCCTTTTTCTTTGTGGAATTCTTTCAAAAACATTCCCCCTTCATTGGGTGCAATTTTAGCATTCTGAAATGACTTTAACGACTTCAACGACCTTTG